TTTTTTTACTTGATATTTTTTTATCCACTTGAGATCCTCGTCGATCTTAAATAAATATCCATTATTTTTTTCAAAGATGAATACACCATCATCACCTCTTTTCCCAAGATCAAGTTGAGTGATGACCTTTTTAAAGATAAAAAAAATTAATTGAAAAGAAACAGACTGTACATGCTTACCTCATCATTCTCAACTAAATCGAAGTTGTATTATCTCAAAAACCAATAAATAGAGACCACCAATGAGACTGTGGATGTGGGTGGATATCTTCTCTTAAACGGCACGCAGACAGCCACCAACATCCACACCCATTCTCAACATGGATATAAAACTTCTACAAATAAAAAAATCAATTTTTTATTAAATAATTATAACTGACTTCTTCTTACGATAGTTTATCTTGAATAGCTGGTGATAAAATATGAATACCTGTATCAACAAAAAAGTTCAAAATATTTATATAAAAACGAAACTTCTTTCGAGTTTTTGATATTATTTATCTTACCCAGATCGAACAATCCAGCTCAGGAACGGTCGGTTCCAGAGAAAAATTATATTATATACTCTTCATATTATCCATATTTGATATGAGCTTGTATTTTCAGTTGGACATGAATTCTTCTAATATCATGAGGCTAAAAGAACAATAAATATATTCATACTAAACCGTATGTAATACTTTTAGTAAAACACTCACCTTAAAATAAATGAAGGCGTGGATATCGCTTCTCAAAATTTTAACCTGTATTTTTGTTTTATTGAATGAAAAATTCATTTTGAAACTACCATCCACCTCACGTTTTTCAAGATCTAATTCAGTAATCATCGTTTGAAAGATAAATAGAATTTATTAAAAACAAAAAATACTGTATATGCTTACATCATTCTCTATTAGATCGCAGTGATGTGCTCGCATGAAGCAATAGACAAATACAACTAAACAATCACCTTTTTCCGTAAGTTTACTCGAATTTAAATTCAAAAGTGTGTCTAAAACCTGTGTATCCATTTTGTTGAATTTGAATTAAAATAGTTTATACTAAAGTACATAGACAAAGGTCATCTGTTTTTATATACACGTGGTGCGAGGGAGAAATACTATTATGTAATAGTGGAATATGAGAGAGAAAAGAAAAGAATAAATATGTAAATATTCGGCTTAAAAATCATTATTCATCTCTTTTAAATACTATTCTTTTGAGGAAGTAAGTCAACTTGTGATAATTATGCTAAAATCAACATATGAAGGGTGTGGGTGGGTATCTTCCCTTAGACAGCACCCAGATAGAGGTCATCACAAATCTCAAGTTGATACCAATTTCCAGTGAATGTCGGATCGCTGACATACAGTTCATCAGTTTCATCAAAAAACAGATATCAGATATTTACTAGAGTACGGGTGTAGCTGTAAAGAGCCCCTCTTCTCTCGCAACCACACCCTCAAATAATATTCTAATTGTAATAATACTTAATTTAGTTATATTTTATTTTATCTAATGAAAACTGAAATGTATTTTGTGTTCACGTTCAATTTTTACAAAATTTTATTCTTGAAAATGGCTATATAATAGTCGAAACGTCAACAGTAAATGAATTTTTTAAAATTAAATTAAATTAATTTTTTTAAAATAATAGTATGATATTTTGCGCCCGTGTCATTTATAAATTCTTATTGAGTGATAGATCTATTTATAAAGTGTCACTAGCTGATATTAACTAAAAAAGTACATATTTACATATACTCTAGGATAATACGTGACAATTCTTCTTTGACATTGTTGACATTTTTCCATTCTATTTAAGTTTTAATCTTAATTTTAAAAGCTTTTTAAGAACGAACATTTTAATATTTAGTTGAGGAAAAAAGCATATTAGACATGTTTTTTACAAAACAATGTCAGTTATGGAATTTAGACGCATACAAATGAAGATTAAAATGATCATTATTCAGTATAATCCTGCTTATAACTGTACTTATCGTCTGATCCTTTAAATATATATGGCGTCAAGATTGTCATCTATTTATGTATCTAAATAGAAATTACTCATATATATTCTTCTTGTATATTTCCCATTGAATAAATGTAATCTATAGTTTAAAAATGAAAATTTTACCATTACTCATATCTCTCATTTAATAATTAATCTTCTCATTAACGTACAAAAAGAAAACATTGACACATACAAGAAGATATTCAAAAGAAAAGAAAACAAATTTTTTTTTCTAAAACAGAAGAAAAGAATCAACAAGAAAAATTACATAGAGATGAACACAAACATAAAGATTTATAGAATTTTTATATACAATTGAAGATCACCAGAAAACAAAAAAATGTAATCATGTTAAGATTAACATTTTCATTTCTGTCGACGGACTAGAGATCACTGTTGTCGATTTTTAAAGAGATACTATATTTCTCTTTCTTTCTTTTTTTTATACAAGATAACCTTCACCAGGCAACAATGATTTTGATGATATCAATACAAGTTGAGATCGTATACGTTTTAACCCATCTAATAAACGAGTTTGTTCATCTAGTGTTATATTATTTCCAAGAATATCATTAAAATCTGATTGATTAAAATGACATATCTGGGACAGATTTGTATAACCAGTATTAAGAAATATTCTTATTAAACGATCTAATTGTAGACTATGTAGCCATTCAATAATTGATGTAACTTGAGCAAAATTTGGTTGATCAGGATGATTAACAAAAACAAATCTATTTAAATAAATAAAAAACAATAGATTCAAAACTTCATTGAATAATTTTTCTACCTTTGTTTTGCTAATGGAATGAGTCGACTAGGTACTTGAATAAATTGTGCTAATTGTTGGACAATTTCTACAAATTTTGGTCTCTCTAAATATTCTTCATTCCAACAGGCAATCATTAATTTATATAATACATCTGAACAACCCTAAAACAAAAAAGAAAATATTATTTTTATGATTTGAGAATATTCTTTTTTTTGTCGTAAACAAACCATTGGAGGTGGAAGACGATAAGAATTTTTTATTGATTTAATAACATCTTGATTTGACCAATTCCAAAACGGTCTTTCACCAAATGAAACAACTTCCCAACATAATACACCAAAACTCCATACATCAGATGCTGATGTAAATTTTCGATAATCAATTGCTTCAATAGCTGTCCAACGTATTGGAATTTTGCCACCTTTAGTTGTATAACTATCACCTTCATCAATTTCACGACTTAAACCAAAATCAGCTACTTTACATATAAGATCTTTATTTACAAGAATATTTCGTGCTGCTAAATCCTACAAAAATTATAAAAAATATAATTAGATGATTTTCTTTTTGAAATTTGTTTATTTACTCGATGAACATATTTCATATCTGACAGATATCTCATTCCCGATGCTATACCACGTAACATACGTGTTAATTGTAATGTATCAAGTAATTTATTTCCTTCGTTTGCCTAGATGAGCAGAGGAAAAAAAAATAATCAAAATAAATATTTTGTAAAATGAAATTTTTCATTTTAATTTACTCGTAGATATGTATCTAATGAACCATTCTCCATATATTCAGTTACAATCATTATTGGATGATGTTTTGTAACAACACCTTCCAAATAAATGACATTTTCGTCATCAAATTGTCCCATAATACTCGCTTCAGATAAAAAATCTAATCGTGTTTTTTCTGTTGCACCTTGTTTTAATGTTTTTATAGCAACTGATACATCTTTCATTAAATTTAGTTTACGTAGTTTACCACGACATACATCACCAAATTCGCCTTTAATAAAAGAAAAAAAAAGAAAAGATAATGATGATGCAAGTGACACATATTATCTTCCGGGCAAAATAATATTCAATAATCTTCTTGTTCTTTCCCTCCCAATGATCTATGACGTGATGATAGTCTCTCGACAGCCGTTTTTTCTCATCAGTTAAATGAATTTACGTAAGGCGTGTAGTTGAAGCAGAAGCATTTCTTGTTGATTGATTGAATGCACATTAATAAAAGGCTTCTCTTTCTTATTCTGTTCCGGGTCATCCCATATTCTCACATGCGAATGATGAAAATTGAATAAAATAAAAAAAAGACACACGCACAATTACGCAATATCATCTTAAAGATTACTAACTAGCACGCATGCATACTTGAACTTTAATTATATATACACATACCTCCACCAATAACCGATTCGATAACTATCAAATTTGGATCTAATTCACGTGCAAAATCTTTAACTGCTTTTGTTGGATCTTCATACTAATAAAATATTCAAATAAAATATATTTCTTATATAATTATAATAATACGAACTGTATGAGGATCAATATAGGTCTTTGCTGTTGTAGGAATTGGAGGCCATAATGGTGCTGACCCTGAAAGATGCACAACAATTATATAAAGCAAAGATATTTATCTTTATAATAGAGGAAATGAAAAAAAATCATTCTTTTTTTTTCTGTCGCCTTCTAGTCATAATGTCAAGGTCAATAAGCATGACAATCTGCCATGATTAATCAAGTAGTCTGAAAAAATATAAGCACACACTTACAGCCAGAATTGAAGAATACATCGGGTCCATAATGACCACTCACTAGAAATAAGAAGCAGAAGATTATGATGATAAGCATATTTAAAAGAATTATAAAGTCTACAAGCAAGATATATATATAAGTATACATTTAAAAAGCATATAAAGTAGAGATGCAAACTACAAAGGCCAATAGATTTTTACATTGTGTTATAGTTTTGTTTATTGGATTACTTGTATAGCGTAACGTCATTGGCCGATAGCCACCTGTAATTACTATGATCCCACTTACCCATTAAATACACACAAAAAGAAAATAAAAAGTAAGTGTAATACGAACCTTGTCGTTTTTGATAATCTAATGATTCACAATCACTTGCTGTTTTTAATCGACATGAACGTTTTCTATACAAATAAAAAAAAGAGAGAAAACGTTTAACTTTGTTTTTAAAAATAATATTGATTTATTTACTTTTTTGAATAAATAATTGCTAAAATAATAACTGTAACAAGTAACGCAATGATAATTAATGGTCCAATAAGTAGTATATTTTTATTCTCAACAAATTTTGTTGATACATCAGTTAGTTTTGTATTTGCTAAAAATTGTTCATCAATTATAATTGAAGTTAATGATAGAACTTTTTCATGTGTATATAAACTCCAACCAAATCTTGTATGTCCGCGTATTTGAAATTTATAATTATCGGTTGTTGTTATTAATGTAAAATTATTATGTAACAATGTAGCAAGCATTTTCTTATGTTCATCATTTATTGACCAATAACGAATTTGATATAGATCAAAATCAATGGGTGACCAATTTATTAAAATTGTATTTAAAGATATTCGTCGAATATTTATATCACGAACTAATTTTGGTACTAAAAAAACAATAAAATAGAACATGTTTTCTTTTTTGTAAGGGTTTCCTACTTGGTCGTTTTGTTGTAAATGATAAACCAACTGATTTACTTAATAAATGTGTAGAAATTTGTTCAGCATATACTTCAATATTATAATTTGTATCAGCATCAAGACCTAATATTTGTACACTAATAAAACAAAAATTAATTCTTACTATTTTATTTTATTCTATTTAAAAATACTTTGTATTATTTATGAATGTTCGATTTGGATAATATGATATATAAGATTCACAAGGTACTAATCGATCTTCAATTAAATGATTACATTCAATACGATATACAATATCATTTGGATTTGCAATTGCTTGTTTCCATGAAATTTTAACTGATGCTTGATCTATGTCATCTACAGTTACATTTTGTGGTTCAAGAGGACTTCCTGTAGAAAAAAAAAAATTTTATAAAGAGAAATAAAGTTGTAATAAAATATTATAATTTACCTATACAAGGTGACTTGGATAATGATGTATTTAGACGAAAAAATCCATCGTTACATATACAAGATGATGCAGCTTTATCTTTTGTATAGCTATTCAATGGACATGGTTCACATCGTTGATTATTACTAATAGTCGATTTATACGTTCCAATAGAACACGCTTAAAAGAAACAACAAAGAAAAATTTGTTTTTAGAACGATGGATACCATCTGTTGTTTCTTTGTATAAAAGTATATGTATACTCATAAATACACTTATATTCTTTCTTTCTCTCGTGTCTAATGTTGCAATGATTATGGACAAAATGGATACTTTTTTTTGTCTGTTTCTCCCAGATGGTGTGTGTGTGTGCGAGTTGACAAGCTCGTTAGACCGTATATGTATATCAATGAGAATGAGGGCGGATGAAAAAAAGGTGTGCGACAGGTGAATGAATGTCGAAACGTTTCCATTATTCTGTTAAATGAAAAAAAAAAGAAATGAGGGACAGTAGTCAAAGTTAATTATACGGATAGAAAAGACAAAGACAATGAATGTTCGTACATGCATAGAATTAGAAAGAAGGTCACCTGAATGAGTACGTATAGATGTATATATATATATGCTATCCTCAAGGGTGAATGAAACATGTTATTTTGACAAGTTTCAACTACCTATTATATCGAACAACTCCATCAATGACATGATTTGAATGAAGCTAATTTGATCTAATCTCAACCAACTTCTATACATACATACCCTTGCAAATGGCACGAGATAGAAGACCATTATTCATATTATTATTATTATCAATAAGAAGTTCGTAACCATCTTGACAATGACAACTATCACTTAATGATGTTTCTTGAAAAGTCCATTCGCCTAAGATGAATACAATTAGCAAAATCAAATAATAACGATCTCTATATGTATATGTATATATACCATTGCCTTTACAAAAACCTAGTGGTTTATGTATTGTTTTGGAATTTGTTGTACAAATTCCATGACGTTGAACAATATCTGTTAAATATGCACCAGTTGGTGTTTCAGGAAAATGCACGAGACCAAATGTTGTATCTTCACAAAGACGATAATATATTTTGACATATAATAATGATACACATGCTCCTTGATCGCGAAAAGCAATGTAAAAACCATTTTTATTTACGGATATTCCACGAGTTTTAACATTAACCGTTAAATTATTTCCGTTCGATGACGATGATGAAGATGATGAGGATGCGGATGATGAGGATGAAGATTGACTACCATAATTATTTGATGTAAAACGATTTCCAGCAATAATATCAACTAATTGATAAGATGACCATAGAAGATCATTATCTTCAAAATCACTTTCATGTATATAAAGTTCAAATGTTTCACGACATGAACGTATTTCATTTGGTGTTTGAAATGTTGAACAATCACGAATAGAAAATCCAAGTTCAATTTCAATACGTGAAGCTTGTTGACGTTTAAAAAAAGGTGAACGTAACCAATTATCAACATGACGTTCTGATGTTATATCACATACGTATTGTGTACGCCATAATGTCGATGTTGATGATGATAGTAAAAGCGTTGGAAATGTTTTTGCTTCGAAACTTAATTCACCCCATCCATCATTTAAATTTCCATTATTGGATGTTTTATCCCAATTTAAATAATCACGAGCTTCTCTTGTGTCTAATAAAACGACTGAAAAAAAAATAAAACAAGTAATCAAATTAGTGCATTTATAATCTTAATTTGTATGCTATACCTTCTTTTGTTGCTTGTACAATTGAATAAATAAAGCAATTTACAATAAAAAATAATTTCATAATCATTGTCGAATAAGAAAACTTGTCAATTGTCGTAATCTTACAGTAAGCATCAACTATTGCTTATACATACACAGTTGGCAGATGAAGGAAGAGAGACTATAAAACAGAAGAGAAGAAAAAAAAACTGGTAATGTGCGTTCTTTTCCCTTCTATACTGATTTTTGAGCTTTCTTTTTTCTCTCTATATGTGTGTGATGCCATAGAATAGACATCATCATCGAATTTCCTTTCTGTCCCTCTTTCTCTCTCTCTCTCTCTTGGTTCGCTTTGAGCAATAGCATCTATAGAGAAGAAAAAAAAAAGAAAAAGAAAAGACAGACAGAGACAGAAGCTGACCGACGCCCGAATGCACACACACATATATACATTCGAATATATATGTATATATGTGTGCGAGAGAGAGAAAGATGATGACTGTCATATTTCAGATAATGTACCTCGATATTCTTACAATAGCAGAATATATATGTATATCTATATATATATTTTATATACAGATATACTAAATCAAATGTCAAAAATGTATTTTATTTCTTTTATATAAAAAATAAGACTGATGGACAATAATAATATTTTTATATTAACCTTTTAAATGAATTCTAAGACAATGATTCTAACAGTTAACATAAAAAGAAATCTATTGATGTCATTTACCGGTAGTTATAAAATAAAATAACATCGAAACATTATTATTATCACAATATTTGCCTCAATCTATTTTTTTTATAAGAATACATTTATATAATGTTACACAATATGAATGAAAATAATGGCGACGTTTTAGTGTAATTTTATTTCAAACATACACTATCGCATTTATTAGTGTGATGTCGGTAAAGCGCACACTATAAATTGAAGTCGTTGGTTGCAACGCTTCTTTCTTTTTTTACTTTACTTTCTTTTATATAGACATTTATTAATTGAGCTTTAGGCATTTAACAATTCCTAGCAGAAAAAAATACTCGTATGTATAAATTATTACATAATTAGTAACGGTCATTTTCTTGTTGTTTTTTTTCTATTGGCATATAATTGTGATGATAGATATTTTTTGGTTGTCTTACAGAGAGAGAGAAAAAAATTTATATGTCAATAAAGAACGAAAAATGATCTAACTTATCCATTCAGTGATATACGGATGTGAAGACAGATCTTTTTCTTTTGTTATCAACAAGAACGACGACGATGCAAAACGATTACGGCACGATCATCCTCAAGAGAGAATCAATTTTCGATCTACATATAGAAGAACGCGAATGAACAATAGAAAAAGAGAAAGAAACGATCAATACAGAGTGTAGTTTTCAATAGAGTTCTCTTTTCTAATAACTTCTATAATATATATATGCAACAACAGAATAAAAATACAATACGGTCAATTACATTTTTTTTATTTATGTATATAACAATTACCTTCGTTAGGATGTGAGTGAGCAAACAATAGTGATGTACGGATTTTTTAATTGTTGTCGTTGTTGTCGTCGTCGATCAATGATGCTTACATAACATTCTCTTTACTTATCCATAGGATGCGATAACACAAGTGCATCTGTTCTCTCTCGTTCGTTGATGAACTTCGTTCGAATCGATAAGAAGAAGAAGAAAAAAAGAAATATCTTGACTTTAACTTTTTCTCTTTAAATAATTTAACTTATACACTTGTTCACTCACATATATTAAACTACAGGCATATATATACGTATGTATGCATGCATGTTTAAAAAGTCTATCAATCGATGTCTAATCATCTTGTTATGATGCCAATAGCTAGCGAAATAGAACTTTCTAATTCATTCATTTCATGTTGTGTGTCGGCAGCCATCTGGCTCGTTCACACAGCGTGTATTATGTTGACAACAGCGCCTACACTGATTAGTCTTACTGCTGTGTATAATTCTCACCGCAACTACTATTAAAATGATTGAACTTCCGACTTCTATATGGTGATAATAATATAGTCATGAGGAATAAGATGAACATTTCTTATTTCTCAATAGGGACTACTTATTTTTTTTGAAACTAACATTCTTGATACCTTTGAAAAAGCAAAACGAATTACTATCATGTGAATGTATATATTCGATTGATTAAACATATAAGTATCTTTGTTCTTCTTATGAATAGGGTGCGAAAATGGAAGGAAGCCTGAATATTAGACAAATACAGGAGGAGATGCAAATGTTTGCTAGATATAGCGGTACGATTGTTCGAATCACGTTAAATATACATACCAAAACGAAATAGCTACATTATACATCTATATGTTCATTTCGTTTTATGTATACAAGGTCAAACAACAATAACAGACTCGACCAAGTGCAGGCTTAGATGATGAACAAACATTAAATTTTAACGAAAGGAAAATAAAATTCATAATTACAAATATAAATAATTCAACAAGAAGAAGACGAAGAGAAAAAATTCGAGACATATATCAATTCAATTCAAGGTCATTAAACTTATATGGATTCTTAAATGTTTTTTTACTCTCGAATAAATTAATTTATATTTTGTTCGAAATAAAATAGTGTACTTCCCCCTTTTCCTTACCGTTATTATTATTTCTAATAGATCAAATGCATTTGTTCTCTATGCAACGATGTGGAAATGAAGTGCTCATGCATATAGAAAGAACAAGCCGGATGTCAATTGAAGCAACTACTATTAAGTTTGCTTTGTCTCTTTTTTTTCTATCTACAAATTTGATGCTGAACAGAGATAACAACACAAAAAAAGAAAGAAAGAAAGATGAAGAAAAGAAAAGATGTGAGTTGAGCGTCTTTCTTTTGTATTTGTTTATACATGTACATTATCTTTTTCTCAATGCGGATGCACCTTTTCAAATCAATCTATGTGCATATGCACATATACAAAGTAACAAACATGATCATTATTCATGCACACTTTATGTGTCAAAATTACCATATTTATTTCGTTTGGACTAGTCCTTATTTTCTTTGATCTTGTTCAATACTATTTTCTCTTTTCATTTATTGATTTAATGTCTTTTAAGGTTGGAATTATTAATGATAAGTCATTTAATCTATACTTTCAAAATGAATTCATCGATTACACATACCCATCACATATACATGTGAGAGAGAAAAAATCCTTGAAATTTACATGCAATAAAACGATAAAACAACACCTTACGACATATCAGGCACGCTTGTATTATAATATATATTTATATTTATACCGATAGATCAACAGATAGACAATAGAAGAATAGAAAATGATTATTGGTGTACACACATTAATCAAAAATTTTGCCTTGAATAAAACATACCTAAGAGCACCTTATTTATTTGTTATAGAGGTGCAACCAGATGCCATTTGTATCTTTAAAAATGAATAAAAGAACCTGATATGATACAGCAGCTACTTATATGCGATTCTGTGTATAACTTCTCAGTTTTTTTTGCTCTTCGTCTAAGCTTTTGATTACGAACGCAAAAAAGAAAACGACAGAAAAAAAGCCAAAATTACTTGTATGCATGTGTATATCTATAGATCTGCATATTTTTTTTGAAAGGTCATATATTATCGATGATATATGACAGTGTCACTACTATTCGGTTGCTTCTATTTCTTTTTTTTTTTGTTATTAAATCTTTTCTATCATTCATCGAGCTTGAAATAATGAATAGTAGTAACAGCAACTAGACTAAAGAGAAACAGGTGGAACTTATCATTTGAACATGTATATACATTTATATATATATATATTTGAAGTCAGAGTCGATTAATATCGAAATAAGAGCTGAACTGTATTCACTTGCCATTAGCTATTCTGTCATATTCGGATTCACACTTGAATAGAAAAACTAATTAACACTGTTCTATCGAAAAAGTCAAGCTGATGATTATCAGATCGGAAATATCGATCGATTCGTTCATCCATCTATCTATCTAACTCATAAAAAAAAATCAATTAATAAAAATAAGTATATACGAAAACATGAGTGTAAATTGAGAATATCACATTCTATTCTTTTCTTTTCACTTACTTATTTATTGACCAAAAATATGATGCGTGACTTTATAAAAGCTGAAGAGCTCTTTTGATATATTTTTTGTTAAAAATATATATGTAGACATGAAACCATGCTATGTGTATAATACGGTTTCTCTTATTTCATATATGTGTGTATATATATATATATATATACAAGTATGTTCGGTGTTGAAGATTGTATTAATCAAATAAAAACAGAAAAAAAAAGAAAGACAGACAGACAGACATCGGCCCTGGCTTGTTCTGAAACAAGGCTTTTCAACAATTGACGATGACAACTCGATGGAAAGATAACAATAACATATTTAGTTGCCGCATGCTATTGTTCCTAGCGGTCATTGTTGTCTTTTTAGTTAGTATACAGCCTTAACATGTATACTTTAGGATGATAGACATTCGTATACATTGTTTATAAGTAATGATGATTGTGTAGAAAAAATCAAGTACATTATACTGTTCATTTCTTTATCATTAATGTAAGTACTAAAAAATGGAAAAGGTCAAACATATGCGCTTATTCAAATTATTTTCAATGAACAGATGAATTAGGACATATGAAAAGCGGATCATTGATTATAAAAAAAATAATAGAAATGATGAGTACGTGCATTTAAAGTCTCTTGTGAAAAGATGATTATATTGATTTCTTTCTATTTATGTAGATTCTGCCGACACCATATGACATCGATAGTCTATATAGAAAGTCAGAAGAATTCATCCGCAAATTGTTTATATGAGAATATGAAAAAAATAACAATCAATATCAATTGAGCAAAAGACATTACTTGCTTCTTTTCTTACTGTCTCACTCAGTGTGTCTATCTCTCTTTCTTTCTTTCTTTTTCTATTTGTCCTGCGGTGATATCAACAAATGAATGTCTTTTATATATATCTAAAGGGAGAATGAGTTTGAAGGCGGGCGAAATCGAAAGGAAATAAAACGAACATTATTATAGCTATACCATTAATTTACTGTGTGAAAATAATAATAGCAGTTAGATTATTTCGGCATCTCAGAAGTTCGTTATAATGTGTGTAAACATGAAAAGATTTAAAGTTTATAAATGATTTGTAGGCACACACACAAAAAAAAAACATTATGAAAAATTCAATCGATTTAAAGATTAAATTTTCTAATGTATAATAACTTACACACACACAGATGTTTAAGAAAAAAAACAATATTGTCACAATTCTGTCATGCCGAAGGATCATTATAAATCAAGCGAGTAGATAGATAAAAGAATAAGCTAAAATAATATTTTCCTATCTCTAAGACAGTTAATATATATATATGATTTGTAATTTCTAGTAGAACGATGAGAAATATTAATCACATGCATTTAGATAAAAATAATTTTCATATTAAAGATTCATATGATAGATGTGACAATTTGTATTTTATATAAAAGAATAAATTTATTTTCTAAATAATCACATGTTTGATAAAGGTGTCGTATTGATCTTATTGTTAATTTAATATTCGTTCTAACAGGTAGTGTAGTGCACAATTAACACCTGTTATTTAGCCTTTCAATATGTGCAAGTGAAAAAAATCGAGTGTCCACTCATGACGGAAATATCTTGACAGATATTTATCAAGTGTTTTTATAGAAATCGAAGAATTAATCTGATTTTTAAATGTAGTGGAAAGTAGGAAAAGTATGTTGTTATTTTATGATTAATTTAATACTTGAGAATTCTATTCATCATAAATAAATCTAACACTACAAAAAAAAATATTTTCGTTAGTTTGATCAAGAAAATAATAAATAGAATTCATTTTCCAAGTAAAACTGAGAAATCATTCGATACAGTCTGTTCATTAGAATTGAGTATGCATTTTTGTTTCTATTATTTATTTAAAATATATTGTCTGATAAAAATAAAAATTTCCCAAGAGATAATATTTAATTATTTGACAAGAATTACTTACATATCATTTTTTTTTCGTTTATCTCTAAGGAGTAACTTACCTTGAAGGAAAAAAATATTTTTAGTATTAAACAAATCAATGGAAATAATCGTTTCTTATTCAAATGTCGTTTGTTAGAAGATATAAATCAGAAGTACTTTTCATAATAAAAATATAGCTGATTATAAAAAAAAAGAAAAGAAATGCATATCTGTTTTCAATCAATTTTATCGGGTAAAAATACTTCTAATACTTTATTCATAGATTTAAATGTCTTTTCTTGCATAATATATAATAAATTTCAATGTACTTTTCTTTATTTTTGTTTCAATGCATAAAAAAACAGAAATAAAATAATTAATTCGATCAAAGAATTATCATTAAAGTTAGTACAGTGTATTTTAGCACCACATTTGTAAAAAAAAGAACATCAAACTACTTGGATGATTTTTTCATTCACGTTTCTTCTACTGCTTCACTTTGTCGTAATCTTGACATACTACTAGATGAACGAAATGTTTTGGGTCTCATTTCAGGCATTGATCGTAAAAGTTCTTGAAGTGACCATCGTAAATTAGGTGGATCAAAATAAGGTACAGGTTTATGTTCGAATTTTCCTGCTGGTCGCCAAACAGGTTCGGCAATAGATTTTTGTGGTCTTTTCTCTGGACTAATTGATGTTGGTCGTTTATCTTTATAAGGACCGGGTGGATGCCAAAGAGGTTCTTCAATACGTTCTTCAACTTTTTTCTCTGGACTAAGTGATGTTGGTCGTTTATCTTTATAAGGACTGGGTGGATGCCAAATAGGTTCCTCAATACGTTCTTCTACTTTTTTCTCTGGACTAAGTGCTGGTGGTCGTTCATGTTTATAAGGACTGGGTGGAACCCAACGAGATTCAACTGGTTTTGGTTTTTCTTTGACTGCAGGTGATAGATAAGCACGAAATATAGGTTCACGATATTTACCAGAATGTTTCCAATTTGCAGCACCAGGACGTGTACCAGTAGAAGAACGTAAATATTGTTGTAAAGAAAGTGGTGGTGCACTTTGAACACGAAAACTATATTTTGTAGTATTTTTTAAACATTTTTTATCTCCCATTGTTGTAGTAGATCGACGAACGGTATTTTGAGCCATATTATTTAGTATTTATTTCAAAAGATAAATATTTAATTGACTTTTAGAAATTCTCAAGTGTATTGAACAGAAAACCTTCACAATTGTCGATGTGATTGAAATGTGTTTCGTCCTCTTTTTCTTCATTTTTTCTCTTTTACCCCACATGCTTGCTCGTAAATAATCACAGCGTAGCAACAGAGAACAATCAAAAGTCATTCATAAAGTCTCTTTCTTTCTGATGATTTAACAGTAAAAGAAGAAAGATGTAATGGTTACGCCTTTCATACAAGTGCAAAGAAAAACGAATAGACGTATATAAAAGAGAAAAAGAAAAAGAAGATGCCGACGGCCACCGCTTCTGATTTATGTCAAAACATCGCATGCTTACGTCAATGCTGATTAAATTTTGAAAAAGAAAAATAGATTTAAGCAAATGTTGTTGCCTTACGAACAATACCACGCGATGACGAAACATTTGGTGAATTTAAATGAGTATAAGTCGTATTTATTTGAGCATTTGATTGTCCATTACGAAGAATTGATCTCGGTGCTGGATTATCTGATTGATAAGGAGTTTGTGTTGGTGATAGATTTGATACATTTGTAGAATTATTATCAATACGTGAATGAAAGGAATTAAGAGCACCGGGGGATCCTAAAGAAAGAGATGAAGTATAAGGAGTCGTTCCATATGGAGCAGAAGGTGGCAAAGTAGTGCTGCCAACAGAACGATTACGTGTAGAATTCACGGCTGTTATATTTGCTGGACGATATGGACCGATATCTGAGGAACTAGAAGGTGCACCACGAGTTGGTTGAAACGTTGAAAGATTTGCTGGTCGATAAGGTGTAGGATTTCTAGGATTATTTGGTGTACCATTAGACGGCTCAAAAGTTGCCATATTTGATGGACGAAAAGGAGGTCTGATATTTCTTGGATTAGATGGTACAGAAGGTGTTGAATTAAATGCTCCTATATTTGAAGTATTCGTCGGTCGAATATTTGCAGAAGGATAAGATCCTATATTATTTGAATTGATTCGTGAAATCGATTGTGGATTAGGAAATCTATTATTTGCTTGATTAGATTGTGGTATAATAGGTAATGATGATTGATTAGCAGAAGGATTGACAGATGATATTGGTCGTTGAATACCATTTGCATTAGCAGTTGGTAGTGTTGATTGTGGTTGTGAGAGAGTGATTCGTTGCAAAAGATCTTGAACTTGTTGCATAAATGGACCTGATGCCGTAGACAAATATGTTCCTAGAGGTGTACCATTAGATGGTGCAATGATTGATTGTGGTTGTGCAGGAATTAATACTGGAGGAGATTGGGCATTGACAGTTTGACCGCCGTTTGGCATAGAATTAGCTTGAATAATAGATAGAGTTCCATCAACGGGATTGATTATTTCAGCAGGAAATAGAACAGTATGAAGTTCTGTTTCAGCATTAGCTTGACTGCCCGGTAGATGTATAGCTGGTAAATGAACAGTCTGTTTCGGTAAATTTTCAATCATTTCTGCAGTTAAATTTGCGAATAATCCTGCTGAAGCAGAAGGATTACCATTCATTGCCATAAATGATGGTTGAACTGGTGGCAAACATGGATTTGATATTGGATTGGCAATCACGACATTAGGTTGTAGTTGTGCTTGCGGTGGTTCATCATAATCAAGTTCATAGCATGGTGATCGACGTCGTCTACGTCGACGACATCGAACACGTTCAAGTTCCAATATTCGTTTTGGAGGTCCACGTAAACCAAGTGTTGGACGATTATCAAGTGGAATACGAAAAACTCTATGTCGTCCTGGTGATGAATGATGACGACCTCGTCGATGAATGACAACATCTGGTGTGAGTGATCGTTGTCTACGTTGACGAACTCTTACTGGAGAATGCTGTGGTCTAGGAGGTCTTCGTCTTGGTGGTGCATTTCTCGGAGGTACTATAGGAGATCTTCGTCTAGGTCGAGATGCTTGAGGTGCTGCCGGTCGAGAAGGTGAAGCAGTTGATGATGTTGGTGGAACGCGTGCTCCAACTCTTGGCAGTTGTTCATAATCACCAGGCATAGTTGATCCACCTTCATTATCACTATTATCTGGATTGATTCTCGCTGACAACATTTCTTGTAATCTTTATAAGAATACACGATACTGACAGATGTCAATTATTCAACTGAATATTTTTTTATGTCTATAATTATGAACGAACGATACGCATCGTTTCACATAAATATAGATGCACACACATATACATTTATAGATGACAAGGCTATTGCTGTTCTTTTACTGTCACATGTCATCAGACAAGAACCTTCATTATACAATCAATTAAGGTAATGAACAGATGTATATAAACAGGTAGGCAATATTCGAGATTAAATCGCTTGTGCATAATTTTTATGTTCAGTATTATATAAAAAATTTGACTATGTATTCTCTTCTAAATATTTTTGTTATTTTAAGTATAAATATTTTCTTTAATGATATTTATTTTGAAAAATTAAAGCAAAAATTATTCGAAATACAAAATAATTATTATCACATTAACTGTATAATCACCCATTTTCAAACTTAATACAAAAAAAAACAGAAGTATCTTTCAATTCTTAATCGATATTCTTTTTCTCTTCATCATAAATCACTGGCATACGAAATGAATTCATTAAACGATCCCAAAATGTAAAAAATTGTCCATAATTACAATCATAATATTGATGATGATCATTATGATGTGCTGCACCATTTACAAATGGTTGAAATATTTTTGGTACTGAATAATTACCATCATGTATACTAACCGTCCAAAAATTGACAAACACGAAAAATAATAAATATGATATTTTATGTAATGGAAATAGAAATACATATAAATGGTATGGTACGCTTTGAAGAAAACCATCTAGCCAATAAAATGCATGACTAGCAAATGGTGTTGGAACAATCCAACGATGATGTAATTTATGTAAATGTTTATAAACAAGACGATGATGTAAACCACGATGAATAAAATATATTAACATATCAGTAAAAAATAAAAAACTTGTAAATTCTTTTAAAAATGGAATAATACCTATGTTGAACAAATGAGTTAATTAAAGACGAAAAAGAAAATTTTATTTACCATATGAACGTTGTGAACTATCATATAATTTTGAATATCCACGTATTTCAAATAAAAAAATAGCTATTGTTGGTATGCTTATAAATGGAATATTTTGAACTGAAACTTTCATTTCTTGACGTATTTGATTCTAAAGATAATAATAATAATTTTTTTTATCGGTCAATAATATTTACTTTCAGAAATAATGGATGTTCCATTTGTTTTTTATCAAATAAGAAGAAATAGCTGAAACATCCCAAGAAAAAATATAAAAGAACTGCATGAACATTAACCAATACAGTTAATGATATTATTTGCCGAGTAAGATCATCTTCAGGCCAACCTTGTTTAGGATATATGTATGGTGTTAAAAGCCATTGATCATAGGTATTTAATACAATATCCATGTTTTATATAAATAATAATACTTGGCTAATACTAAAAAAGAAAACACAAGTGATATTCAACTATTTTAGTTTGAAAAAAAGCATGTTATTTCTTTATCTAACAATGAAAAAACACGTGAAGTTGACAAACTATTTTTCATTTATGAAGTTTAAAGATCAAATATTAGTCACAACACTTGTTTTTCTTCTTTTATCACTTAACACAGTGAATATCAAACAAAAAAAAAGAAACAGAAAAACATATAACAAGAACAACAACAGAAAAAAAGAAACAGTGAGTTTATTCTTCGATTTCATTATCATCGTCATCTTCATCGCCCAACTAAAATAAAAAGAAAAAAAGAAAAATTTCAATAAATATTATATTTATTCAATCTATTCATTCGTCTTTATTTTTCTCGATTATAATACAATAGAAAATATACCTTCGCAGAGCTATTCTGTTGCCTCTGCAAGAGATACAATCCTCGACCAGTACCAGTATACGATCCGGGAGGATAAAATGGTAAAAGTTGATCAAAATGATGACACGGTAAATATGAAAGCCATTTGAACATACTGAGATTTTATAAGTCAAGGAATAACATAACACGAATATGATAGTTTTTATACTTTTACATAGTTACACAAAAAAAAAGAAGAAGTCCTATCGATAATAAAAATACATACCTCATATATTAAAGCATTATCGAGCATCTTTTGCACAAAAGGCAAATGACGTAGACGTCCGAGTAATGTGGGAATAATATATGTAACAATCGAAAAATATGGACTGCTATGTTCATAACGTGAAAGCATCGGACCGAAAAAAAGCCATGAAAACATACTGGATTAAAAGAAAGTTAAGGAGAATAAAGACGAACTACAGAATGTATATGTGAATATGAATATTTTCGATTTTGAGGGTAGGGTGAATATATATGTGTATGAAAATTCTTCTTACCGTTGGATTCATTTTTGTTCTAACTTTTTGAAAGACAATCTGATAGGGAAGTGAAAGACGCCAATCGATCTCGCTATCCATTGGAGAAAATGAGTGAACAATTAATCGCTCCAAATAGGCCAACATACTGATTAATGGGAATAGAAGAAAAAAGTCAAGGAAATACAAGAACTAATTCTCTCGTTAATTCAAAAATATATATAATAAAAGGATACGATTTATCGGCAATTTCTCTTTTGACAATATGTGGAATAATGACGTTTTCTTTGAATGTTGTTATTTCAGACTAAAGAAAAAAAGACAAAATTTTGTTACAATTTTTAATCAAATAAAAAATATACTTCAACTTCAGCCCATGTTAATGCTTCATGTTGACCATCATGGCCAAATTTTTTATCATATCGATCGTAATGAAGCTAAAATTAAATTTAAAAAAAAAGATTTAATTTTAATATTTCTATTCGAAATTTACTTTTTGAAGTACAAGGCCAAGTGGTGGTGCTTTTGGTATATCAATCTAAAACAGAAATAAATGAGATTTATTCATAATTAATAATAATCTGCATATTGTCAAACACGTTCATGAAGACTATCAGTAGTTTCGTTTTTCGGGTGCGCAAATCAAACTGTTAAGTTACGGGTCACTCAGCCCGCCCGCTAGATAAAACACTGTTTGAGAAAAACTTGAATATTTACCTTATCAGCATTATATGCTTGTTGAATTGTATCTCGACTAGCAACTCCACGAACAATAGCAATAACAAGACCTACAATAAAAATATTATTCAGTTTTTTAATTTCTTCTATTCTATTTACATACTAATCATTTTTCGTATTTGATGTAACATAAAACTTTGTCCTTTGATTGTAATTGTAGTAAATTCAACATTTTCTCTTATATATGGATCAGCGATCTAGAAAAACTTTACTTTGGTTGAAAATCCTTTAGATATAAACTTACGTCAATTGAAAACATATGTCTTCTAGCTGATGGATCGGTAAATTTTTTACCAGATGTAAAATTATGAAAATTATGTGAACCAAGATATTCACTGGATACATCTTTTGCTAATTGTAATATTTCACCTAAAATAGAAAAGAAACATTCAATTCATAGCGCCAAAAATAATGAAAACATGTTTAAATCAAAAACATTCTTTCAAATAGATTCAATATTTTTAATCTATTGTATTTGGTGGTCAATAATAATAATTATTACATTTCTAACATTTATTCTATCTATTCTATGTCTTAGTCATTGTTCAAATGAATATCTTTTACCATATTTTCTTCTCGAACATAGTTGTTTAACATTTTTGATCATTATACTTATTTGTTATTTACGACATGGAAATGATAATCGATCTATAAACTATTTATCTGTTTTTATATTTTTTATTTATTTTATTTCATTTCTTATTACAACAATATTTACATTTCGTCGTATTAAATTTATAAACTATAAACTAAATCCTATCGAAACATATTGTTATTACATAGCTATTAGTTTTTTTATTATTCAAATTCTTACAATTATTCTTCAACTTCCAATTGCTTGTTTTATTTTAATATTCGGTATTAAAAATTCTCAGAATAAAATTCAAACAAAAGATATTCATATCTCAATAAATGAACTAAATAGAGACCATAATTGAAAATTATTTTTCACAATCGATTCCATGAGGGAAATATTATGATTTATATTCTCTCCATACAATTAAGACTTTCTACTGCTATTAAATATACATACTTGAAACTCGATATGATTCACTAGTGATCTAAATAAATAAATAAATAAAATTGAATTGAATTTCTAAATAAAAATATATTAAACCTCTTCAACTGGACAGAAAGCATAAGTTGGTAGGATATAAATATATGTTCGAGCATCACAACTATTTTTGCTATTAAAACTAGCAGCAACACGTTTTACACCTAGAATAAAATTGAAGAAAAATAAAGATTTTGTTTTTATTATTTACCAAACATTCGTATTTGTTTAGGTAAGTGTTCATTCACAAGTTCAGTAAGATTTTCTAATGGAGCTAATTTTAATGAAACAAGATTAGCTACAGCTGATACACCTTTATCAGTTCGTGCTGCTCGTTGAAATGCCATCTAAATAATAAGCTCAAAATTTTTAATAGTTAAAATATTAAGAAATACATACTTTAGACATATCATCAGCATGTGTTTGTGGTATAGCATCAACTTTAACAAAAGCTTCAACTAATTCATCTTCAATTGTCCGATGTACTTTATCTTTTGCATTACTAAAATAAGAAAATGTTCCAGATTTATCGAATTGTAATATAAATTTACCGTTGAAGACCAAAATAACCAGCACCTATATTCATACGGATAAAATTAAACATAATTATGATTATATTCTATACATACCACAATAACCAAATGAAACACAAACTTTTCGTTTTTTTAATGCACGTTGTCGAACATGAGTGGTTGTAGTTGATGTTGTTTCAATTGAACTTTCCACCTAAATAATATGTAAGAAAAAAAATAATAGATTTTAATATACTGACTTCAGTTGTTGTATCATCTTTGAATTTCTTTTTTGATGGTTCATTGTCATCTGCATCATTTGATTCTTCTTTTTGTTCAGCACTTGTACTCGTACTTTCTTGAAGTATTGTTGAAGTTGTAGTAACAACTGCTTTAAGAATTGCTTGTGCTGATGTTCGAGTTGGACTTAACATATCTAAAATCTATTTCTTCAAAAACAAACATAGGATATATTGTCATTTTTTATAATGATAGAAATGTATAGTTTAATATTAAAATCGAAATTAATTTTCTTCGTAGTAAAAACAACACTTTGAACTCAATTTACGAATGCTGATGACATGATATATACATATTATTTTGAATTACAACAACATTCCGAAACGAAATAAAATAATTGGTCAAATAAAATATCAATCAAAATTTTAGTATTTACTATTCGTGAAATTCTATCAACAATCTTCTGCCCTCTGTATATTTCGATAATATAATCGAGCCTTTTAAACATATCCTCAGTAATTGCATTCCGAAAATGAATTATTCCATATTTTTAATTAAATAAAAATCTTTTTTTTTTACATGAGTATTGCTTTGAGAATCTATACACAGAAATACTATTAAACTTTAACGAGAATGTCGTTTAATAATTCTGTATTCATATTGTTATGATCAAAGTTCATATAAACAAATAACAAAGTTTATATCTCAAGAGAATTATATCCAGGTTGATATTATTTCCAATTTTTCTTCCTTTTGTCCGATTGATTAATATCATTCATTCATTAAAAACTTTCTTTTTTCAATGTTTCATTTAAAAAAAACGGATAAATACTTTTACAATAAATCTTATAATTATTTCGATTATGAAAATATTAATTCAAACGCTGAACAGAATTATCACAATATTAATAATTCGTTCAAAGATGTCGTTATTTTACATAATGAACTGATCTATAGGGAAATTATTTCTAGCCAATTGAATCCTATCCGCCCCTATTTCTTTGTGTTTTCATATATAAGCATGAATCATAACGTCAAAAAGAAAAAAAAGTTTATTAAGTTGAGTATATAATCATATTAAACATTCTTTTTTAGAAGAATTATTTTCTATTAAAATCAAAAAAATCAAAATCAATACAGTGATGTCTTCATCTGGTTCACATTCTCACGAAATGAACAGCCAAAATCGTCGTCGATCTACTAGTTCAATAACATCAGACGATGAAGAAGAAGATTTTATTGATAATGATGATAATTCAAATGATCGATCAAATGGAAAAAATTCAAATAATAAAAATAAAAAAACTTTAGGTCGTGTTAAAATTAAGATGGCTTATATTGATAATAAAATTCGACGATATACAACATTTTCAAAACGTAAAACAGGCATTATGAAAAAAGCATATGAATTAGCAACATTAACAGGTACAGAAGTTATGTTACTTGTTGCATCAGAAACTGGTAAGGTTATTTATAAAATAGAATAAGAAAACATTCGTTTTTATTTAGGTCATGTTTATACATATGCAACTGCGAAATTACAACCAATGATAACAAGTGAAGCAGGTAAAGCATTGATTCAAACATGTTTAGCAAAAGATGAACCAGTTATTGAACCGATTGTTGATACTCCAACAGCAATAACAACATTAAATGATAATGATGTGATATTTATCGATGAAATTCAACGAAAAAAACGAACAGATAGTAAGCAATACTCTATTTAAATTCATCCAATATTTCTTTCTTTCAATGAAATAGCACAATCTACCGATATATCAATTGCAAATCGTCCTATAAAACGTGCTAAATTAAAATCTGTTGATGATCTATCATCTTCATCTAATAAATCTATATCGACTAATACTCCAAATTCACATGTGTTCTCTCCGACACCTCAAACAGCAACATTAACACTTCCACTTCCATGTTTTATACAATCAAATTCTTCGCAATCACAAATTCATACATCTACTACTACAACAATTCCTTCGGCGTATACAATTAATATGGATAGTTTGAAAAATAATGGTATGAATATAATTTTTGCGCCATCAACATCGAATTCATCTGATCCGTCACCTCCGTCTAATACTCCACTTGTTTTAACACTTGGTAATTTTCCATATCAGCCAACATAACAAGGTTAACATATGCATTCGCTTTTTTTCGACTTTTTTTTTCTTCATTGTATATAAGATATTAATATACAGACATACATGCGTAGCATCAAAAAAAAAAGAATTGCGTGATTGTTATTGGCCATAATAAAGTTAAGTTACTTTAAAGACATTCTTCTTCTTTTTTTTCGTTTTTATTCTGTGACACGACCTCGAGAAGTATGGAATATGTAAAACAAAAGAACTTTAATCTTTTTATTGAGATTTTCTTTTTTTTTTTTTGTCGAGATGAATAAAGAAAAGAAATAGAAAGAGAGAGAGAGAGAAAGAGAGACGAACGAATAAATACTACAAAATAGTTGAAGGACAATAAGAAAAACATACAAATACATTTTATTGTTTTGTTTATGGTAATATTGTTGTACATATGATATAGACTTTGTTTCAGGAAAAGTAAGAAAGATTAATTGGGAAACAAAACTTTAAAATTTAATTTCGTTTATCATTTTTTTCTAAGGATCCAAGATTCTATTGTAAATAGAATTTCAATGTATTAAGCTAAGAAAAAATATCAATTTTGATAAATGATTATTTTTCTATGTCTTCATATTTTCGAAATATTTACATTTGCATTTTTTTGAAACAAGATCAATAACTCATCTCGTATACATCATAAGCTTATGTACCTTGTTTCATATTCAAGATCAAATTACATTATAAAGATACGTTTTCTTCATTATTTATCTGTATATAGAAATTCTTTTTGTACTTTTGAAGTACAATCAATGAATATTTGATCCCAATAGAATTAATGATTTTTTTTGTATTTTATCATTTTAATTTAAAAAATATATATATGAGTTTTTTTTTCTTTAAATGTCCTTCATGTTTAAGAATACAACATTTATTGTTATTCTTCGTTGTAGATATGAGGAATCCATACAAGTTTATATATATGTCAAAAAATTTTTTACTTCATTTTCTTTTTTTCTTCTAGATTTAAAATTTTTGTTTGTTTGTTGGATGAGTTAAAGAAACGAATAGAAATGACATTCCGGTGAACATTATACATTCTTTTTTTTTATTTAAAAAATAATATATTCAAATAATATGGCATTGTCAACTTATAATACTGAATTACCATTTCGTAATAGTGTATCAAAAAATCCATCAGAACGAACAACGCAGGTTAGTTTATTAATAACAGTGTAAAATCTAGTAAATATTATTAGAGTAGGCAGAACTCATTTCAATCCGCCTCTAGAACAGATAAATACATATGTATTTACAACAGGTCTAAAACTTCCAGACAAGGACATTTCGTGGGTTTGACTGAGCTCATTCTGGTTTCCCTCAGGCTATGACAGTATTTATTAAATATATATACATATCTATGTGTGTATATATATATATACATACATACAGATTTCTATTCTTCATCATTAAAATATAAACAAGATAGAGAATTATTTCCAAAGCATGCAATTATCCAAAAACGATAACAGTGAATTATCTATCTATGCTAAGAATGAACTGATCACAATCTCTAAAAATAACAATCTACATTGATTAATATATCTTTCGATATCTAGACAACGATTAAAATATACGCTTTCCAGATGTTTTTATTAAAATAAGTATCATTGGAAAGAATTTTTGATTTGCATATAGTTCAAAGTTAATAACGTCTCATTTAATTCCGCTTCCTGAAAAAAAAGGTGATAATAAAAATTTCAGACTATAAAATTTTTTATGAGCAATTAATCTCATATTGAATAGGAGAGAAAAAAAAGTAATACATTCTTCCGATTCTCATTTGTATATTCAATCGATATATGTATATCATCAAATAATTTGTAAATTATAGTCAAATCTTTTTTCTCTTTGTATTGATAACTAGACAATCATAAACGATTTGCCGTCAGTCATAGTATCTTTCTTTTTATACTAATGATTAATTCATACGTTGAGTCTCGTATATATATATATGTTATTATTCTCAGCTGGAAGCTGTTAGATCTGATTAAACAGACATGTTCACCCTTTTCAACTTGATCCGACATGTGTATATAAATCTGACGTAATATATCATCATTGTCGATCATGTTTTAAAGTATTATTATTATTATTGTCTGTATTATTCCTTCATTATGTAAATTAAATTAGAAAAAATGGCTAATTTATGTGCTAGTTCTTTTTCTTGTTTCTCCATACGAAAAAAAAAAGTAACACATCATTGAACATGAGAATATAAACGAATGTAACAACTGTTCATTCATCATTTCTAGAGAAGAGAAGAAAAAACGGAAGATAAGAAAGAAATAACAGAGACCGCTTGCTGTTCCTTCTCGTACTCTGTCTGCTTGTCTATTCTTCCGTTCTGTCTGCTGACATCGCCACTACTACCATCCGAGATGATTGCCAACTTGTATTGAGTATAGAGAACTATATGGTTAATCATTGAAGTTAGGACACGTACATATTAAGAGTAGAAGAGAATAGAAAGAAAGAAAAGAGAAGAGAAGCAAGGGTGAAATCGACTTGTTATAAGCATACATATACGAGTATATATATATATACATACTCTTTCATCCGTTGTCCATACAGCTACATATATATAGGTACAGATTTCTTTTTTTTTTTACTTTGCTTTTTCCTTTTTCTCTCTTTCTTAGAGGTCAGACATCTATTGTCCGGCTCTGAAAGTTCAATTTTTTTTTAAAAATATTCTAAAGAAAAAGAAGGAAAAAGAAAAGGGAAAGCAACTTTTACCTTTTCTCGTAGTAGAACGTGTTAAAACAGGAAAGAAAGGCGATAAATTGAATAGTATCATTTATATTTCTTTTCCATTTAGGATTTAACTATAATCAATGCTTATTTGAAACATTTGGAAGCATTATCATCACTTCGTGAATCAAATATTCGTAATTTGAGTAAAACAATTCGTTATGAAAATCATGATGCACATCATGTTTTATTTAGGTTTGTTATTATTCTTTTTTATCTTTCACTTTATTTTTTGTTTGTTTTCCGTTCATCATCCTTTCACACACTGAATGACAATATTCTTCTTAGTTTGTTATGTCTGCTATTTTTCTCTATGATACTTACATATACATTTATCATGATGATTGTACACTTAGATAACTACCACTCATTGTTAGAATACGGTCACGGTCAATTATCTATCTATCTTTGATGACAGATGTGCCATGATATACTTCATGTTTAAAGTAAGATGTTACATCATGTATAATGACATAAAATATATGGGTATATCGAGTAATAATAACCTTGAATAATATCAGAGAGAAATTTTGTTCAAATCTAATGAAGTATTCATTTTCATTAATCTTATAGTCTAAATTAGGGGTTTTATTCTTGTCTGGGTATATGACATATAGTCTTTGACCATTGTTGTAATATATATATATATACATACATACAAAAAAGAGAGAAGTGTGATTGTTTGTTGCAGTGTAAAGCATACGTACATGCACGCGCGCACGCGACCGAATGTTCACAAGAGAGAAAGACGACACAAAGGACACAGAGGTGTATATAAACATATGTATATTATGAGGATACTGAAGACAGAGTACTCACGCTCAGTACACATATCAATGATTTATATTTTTTTATTTTTTTTAGTCGTGGTGAATTAAATACCTGTTGGTATATTCTTTTATCTGGTTCAATTTTTATTGAATCTACAATGTATTTACCACGAGCTAGGTAAGTAAAAATAAAAAAACTGAAGAATTTGTTTCTTTCTTTTTTTGTTCTTAATCATGATCTTCGACATTTTTATGTATCCTTTGGGATACAGAAAACGAATGAGAGAGAGAGAGAGACCAGATCAATTTTTCTTCCCCGTCTTTCATGTTTATTTGTTAACCTTGTTCGTTCTTTTTTTTTACTATACACATAACACTATTACTTCTACTACACCAACACCATCTTACTCAGTCTCTCTCTCTCTCCTTCTCATCATTGTACATCTAGCGTTGTCCTTGAACAGATCGAGCGACATTTATGTATATGCACATGACATAATCGTTCGTCTTTTTTTTTCTTCTATTTCAACAGTTTTGGTAAACGAACTCCTAGTAATCAATATCGGATCAATGAATGTGTTGTGCTCGAACCATCGGAAATGCTTGTTGTAAGTAGACATAATATATAATTTTCTTCATCATAAAAAAATATTAATACGAAGAAAAAAAAATATTACCTTTAGTCACACCTTGATACATTCTGTTCTGCTCATTTTTTCTCTCTTCTTTACCTTTATTTCGTTTTGTCTTTATTTAGATTGATTATCCCGAGCTCGACCATGCTTTGCAAAATACGGAATCATTGAAGCATATCGTTAGTAAACATAATCGTCAACAAGAACAAGCTATAACTCTAGTAGAAGAACAGCATACTTCTATTATGGATTCTGGTACAATACCGACGATTAATCGAAAAAAAAGCATACAAAATCGACAGGTAAAAAAATAACCTCTATTTACATGTAAAAATAAATGCATGAAATTTTGTTGATTTTTTTCTTGTATAGCGATCTGTAACAGTTGGCAATATGAATGATATACATTCATCGATGATTCGTAGTTCACATTCACGTGCTAGTGATACATCAAGTGCTTATTCTGGATCAGATCTTATGCAATCATCAACAAATGGTGAAGATTGTTTAATGATAAATAATGGGGAAAATGGTCTAGGACAAAATGATGATGTTGGATTAAGTCGTTGTTTAAGTATTCATGAAAGTGATGATGAATCTGAAACATCATCTGAAGTAAATATTTTCAATAGATTTTGATTTTCTAAAACAAAAATAATAATTTTTCGTTTAGCATTCATTTCCTATTCATGATCATATACGAGAAGTTTTAATGAAAGAAGCCAGTGATCGTACTGATGATGATATTGAAGCTATTTTAGAATTTCTTCTACATTTTCCTGTAAATATATTTCATTTTTTTTTGTTTGCTAAAATGAAAACTAACTAATTAATAGGCATTTGCAAATTTAACATTACATGTTCGACGTGAACTATGTAAAGTCCTTGTCTATGCTCAAGTTGAAAAAGCTCAAACTATTGTTATGAATGATGGTGAACGTTATGATTCTTGGTCAGTTATTATAAATGGTACTGTTGATGATGAAACAGTTGATGGAGAACGTATACGTCGATTAACCGTTGGAGAAAGTTTTGGTTGTGGCCCAACACTTGATCAATATTGTCATACGGGTATCATGAAAACTTGTGTTGATGATTGTCAATTTGTTGTTGTTGCACAAAATGATTATTATGCAATATTAAATCAAGTATTTAATCTTTTATTTAAAAAAAAGAAAATTCAATGAATTTTGTTTTTAGGGAGAAAAAAATATTAGAAAAATTGAAGAAGGTGAACGAACTGTTATGGTTAAAGAAATACGAATTGATGATGATGAATATCGTATACCACGTGAAATAGTTATAAAGGCAACAACTGAAAAATTACTTGACTTATTAGTTGATGAAGATCAATTAATTGATGATCCTTATTATGTTCAAGATTTTCTTTTAACTTATCGAACATTTATTAATGATCCAATGATAATAGCCGATAAATTACTTCATCATTTCGATGAAAATATTAGCTTACAATCATGTGTACATACTGCACGTGTTGTTTTATCTTGGGTTAATAATCATTACAATGATTTTGAAACAAATACAAAACTATATGAATTTCTTGAAATATTCGATGATCGATTACAACATCATGAAACAGAAGTAAAAGAAATTTGATTTAGATTTTATTTTAATTTACTTTTTTTTTTGCTTTAGGAAATTCGATCGTGGAGATATTTAATTGATTTAGCTTGTTTTACAAAAGCTAGTCGACGTTATGTTACAATAACACGATCAACACGAGATGATATTTTAAATTTTAATATACTTGGTGGAACTGACACATTAGCAAATAATGGAATATTTGTATCAAAAGTTGAAAAAAATTCGAAACCATATGAAGCTGGTTTACGCCGAGGCGATCAGGTATTTTTGAAAGAAGCTGTTATTATTACATAAAATAAGACAATAATAACTGTAACATCGTCTGATCTTTTCTTAGTAGATCTTGAGTCTGTCTAAACAATTTGAACTATTCAATAGAGAAGAGTTTTTCAAGTGTGAATATGAGTACTTGAAAACGTTTTCAATGCTGTTATAATAAAATAATCGAGTGTATTTATATATACAGACATCACTTTACATAAGATCAAAGGGCGGAAGAAATTGGGTACTTGCTCCCTCTATGAAGGTCATCAATACATTTATGAGTTTTTTTTTTATTTATAAATATAACATATTTTATTGAAAAAAGGCTAGACTGAATAATATTAATACAGTTTTCTATATTCATATAAACTCATTAACATTATACAACAGTAGTGTAAAGATTGGGTTCAAAAGTCTCTCGATTAATTTGTTGAATCACAACTGTAGTTCCCTATGGAATAAGAAAAAAATTGACCATTCTAATAAAAAAAAATATGAATTAAATAATTAATTAAAAAATGTTTGACTGTTCTTCTTTATTTCGTTTTACAGATTCTTAGTGTTAATGGACAATCTTTCAATGATTCAACTCATGTTCATGCACTTGAAATTCTTCGTAGTACAACTCATTTATCTTTAACTGTAAAAAATAATTTAATGGGTAAGAAAAATTATTTTTAATAAATTTAATATTATTTTTGTTCTAAAGGTCTTAATGATATTGTTAATCCTGAAAGATCCTCCAATCGTAAAAAACGTTATGATTTGACTACATGTGAACAAGAAATTCGGAATAAATTATATGTTTCGACTCCTGTACGTTCTGTATCAATGACTCCAACAACAAATAATACACCATCTGGATTAGCGAATAGTCCATCGGATCCTTATACTCCCGATCCTTCATCATCAAATCAATTACGTCCGCCATTATCAACAATAACTCCAACAAAAACTAATCTTTCAACTGAATATCCCGAAAAAACGAAACCACGTCCATTAACTAAACGTATGGGTATTAAGCGTGCCGTTTTGCAAAGATTCAAAATTACAAAAAATAACAGGTAAAAAATAAATTTAAATTAAGTCGATACAGTATTTTTTGAAATTTTCCATCGACGAAACCATATAACTAAACCAACTATAGAATTAATCGTAAACATAATCCATACAATTAACACATTGATATCAAGTCTTGTTTCGAGAAGACCTAAAATATATTAAAACCTTCTATAGTAGATACTTTCCGATTAAGCAGAGTGATTAAACTTTTTATATAGTAAACATCGTTATACTACCGACGGCGTTAGTGATATAGTTTTATTAATTTTTAAATTGCTGACAGTGGTTTATCCAGCGGGGGGAGAGTGGCACGGGCTTTTTGCCCTCTCGGAGGGTGCCCCCCCCCCCCCCCCCCCCAGAAGAGAGATTTTTGCCCTCCCGGCAGTTAATTTCGCGCCCTCGGACGAAAAAAGCTAGATAAAACACTGATTACTGAATGTTCTATTACTACTCTCTCTAATGGTCAGAAATTTGCGCGCTTTTCTCAATACATATAATTAACATTAGTGTCTACGATTCATTCTTCAATTAACAGTCTCAACTCTACAATATCATTTTTGAAAACAGCGAATTTTTCTATAAACTCCAATTAGTATAGAAATATCTGTATTATTTACCACTATACATAATAATTGCCATTATATTCACACCTGCCCATAATATATATTGTTCCCAATAACAAAATATAAGTAAAAATTGTGCAACAACACTTAATGTATTTGTTGAAGCATCCAGTAAATGTGGAACAAAATTTGTTTCGAAAAAATATTGTGATGTTAATAATTTAGAAAATGCTGGTATTTCATAATAAAATAAAAATGCTAAACCTACACATAGTATTATTATAAATACCCAGCCAATTAATTTTAATGATTTAACACGTGTTGTCGATTGATTATCTAGTTGTTTTGACCATATATAGATGCCAACAAATTGCATTGGTAAAAAAAATAATATATATAATTGTGCATCACCAACATAACCATATGCAAATGAATAAATACCGTATAGAATAGCTCCGAGAATACCCCAAAAATATGAAGAAATTTTACCTTGAATAACTAAAACTACATTGAGAACATTTGTAAATGCAGCAATACCAGATAAACATAATAGAATACGACGCCATAATGGTACACCATCATTTAAATCATTTGTCCATTTTAATAAAGAACGTTTTTGTTCTTGTGGAAAAAATGAATTAAAATCCTTGAAATAAAAAAAATTTAGTTTAGATATTTCTCAATAAAATAAGCTTTTTTTACCAAAATAGAAAAAACAACATTGAATGTTGCAAATAGAATAAGAATAATAGCTTGCCAACATTTAAATGATTTTAAATCCGGTAAAATAGATTTAAATACAAGTTTCAGAAATTTGATATAACGTTTAATAAATAAATTTAATTTAAATAAACAAGATTTTGTATTTCTATCAGATATATGACTAATATCATTCGTTGAAAGTGTTATTGTTGAGAGATTATCATTTGAATTTATTGGTATTGTTGTTAGCGGTAATGATATAACAGATAATGGTTCTTGTGAATGTTGTTTAATATCGAGCTATAAGTATAGAATAGATAATTCGAATAAAATCTGGCACGGATCTATTCGTACAGTAGTGTCGCGAAAACTTTAGATTTAGGAGGAGAGAGAGGACACTCTTCGCGGCAGCCCTATATTCATATTAGACTTTGACTCTCTCTAATTTTCATATGATGTCAATAACAGTTCGAAATTTTATCTCTAATGTTGCACTCGGAATTAAATCAACCTTAAAAACGAACTCGATCACGTTAAATAACAGAGTGTCAGAAGTACATTTGATGAGAAAAGATAAGTTAAATGATACAATAAGAAGAAAATTCATCTAGAGAATAAAATCTCATATTTTATTTTTTCTCTTATATCACTAATAAATTAAAACCCAACATTTTTTTCTTCGTTTCAGATCAACTAGGTAAGCATAAATTTATATTTTCTCAACGTTTGTGTCCATCACACACAGCACTCAATTTTCTACACTTGCTTTTCATCTTCTTTTCAAATGAATATTACACATCTTTATGTATATATCTAAATGTTTCTCAGTTTTTTTCTTCTTACACTATGATTATTGTTTCTTACCTGTGTCATTATTTGATCATACGATTCTAAATTTTATCGAAAATGATGCTTTAAATTCGATATTTTCTCTTCTGATATACGAACATGTCAAAAGTAAATGGCAAAAAGGATTTACAATAGACAACAATAGAATGAATAACCTTTATTGAATTTTGAAATCAATTAATCATTAACTGATATTAAAAAATTTATTTATTTATTTATTTTCAGTGAACTTGATACAAATGGACTTGATAATGAAGTTGATTCAAGTGTTCTATCATCATCAAATAATAAAAATTTCAATCGAAGTTCAAGTAATCCAGATTTATCTCCATCATCCGTTAGTAATAAATCTATGTCATCATCATCAACCAGTGCAACTAATAATGATGAAGATCATTCAGCATTTGTTATTAAAGTTTATCGAAGTGATCAATCATTTAAATATTTTCCTGTATATAAAGTACGAAAAAAAAAATACCTAGTAAATTATTCTATTATTATAAAAAAATGTTATCTATAGGATACAACAGCAAAACAACTTGTTATGTTAGCTATAACTGAATTTGGTATTGGTGATCAAAGCAGGTAAATAGATGCATGATTATTATGTTATAAGTTTCGATTTATCTATGAGATTAGTTTCTTTATTGAATATCAACCTTCTCATATTTTGTAGTCATACATCTTCTCGCGTAGAGTTTGATCTAATGCGGTAAGATGTTATTCTTAAATAATTGGAGTAGCTTTAGTGTATTGTTTGGGTTTCTTTTTTTTGTTTTATAACTAATAATAATAATAATAAATTTTTAAAGTGCACGCTTTTTGGGGAATAATAATGGGGGTTAAACAGCTTATGCTATTTTGTTTTTATCCTTATTCAGACAGAGTATCTTCTACGACGATGTGTAAGTTTATGCTTTACTTTTTGTTTTTTTCTTTGCATTTTTCAATTCTTTTATAAATCACCTTTGATCTATAACACATAAATATCAAACTTAAATGCTTTATATCAGACAAACAGGAGTATTTTTTACTAAGAACAAAAACAAAGGAATTCGAAGTCTTAATTAAAGAAAGTATCGATCTCATATGAGAATCTTTTCAGACAACACTGATATTATTTAATAAAGTCCATTAAGACTTACATTACATAAAATCAATTAAAGAATTACCCAAAAAGAATAACTTTTATTTCAATTAACTTTTTAATCTTCACATAAACTAATTCATTCCTCTAATAATCGCTTAATCTTACATAAATTATGCTAACAACTTTTTTTAAATAGAAATTTCATAGATATAATTTTTGTCTATTTTCTTAAGGTGTTATTCGTTATGTGAAGTATCTGTTGAAAACGGTGTTATAAAACAAAAACGTTTACCTGATTATACTAATAATTTACCTGAACGTCTTCCAGTAAATGCACGGTTTTATTTAAAAAATAATCATTCAACTGAAACACTTGTACCTGATCATTTATCAAATGACTTAATGCGTGAAGCACGTATCAATTTTCTTTCATTAGATGCACTTGAAATTTGTGCACAATTAACCTTACGTGATTTTGCAACCTTTAAATCTATTCAAACAACTGAATATATTGATCATATATTTAAATTAAAATCAATTTATGGTATACCACATCTTGAGAAATTTCTTAAATTACCAAATAAAGAAATGTTTTGGACAATAACTGATATTGTACGTGAAAGTAATTTAATGCAACGTTCAAAAGTTATTAAACATTTCATTAAAATTGCTAGTAAGAAAAATTTTTAGTTATTTGTATATTTTTGATATTAAATTTATATTATTTTATTTAGAATGTTGTAAGGATATGAAAAACTTCAATTCAATGTTTGCAATTATTACTGGTCTTGATCATAAAGCTGTACAACGTTTACAACAAACTTGGGAACGTGTACCAGACAAATATAAAAAATTATTTGATGTAAGTTATGAAATACGATAAGAGATAGATTTAGAAACATCTTTTCCTACGATTAAAAAAAAAGCGCCGGTCAGTGTTTTATTTAGCAGGAAATGAGGGGGAGGGGCATGGGACAGTTTACGCCCTCGAAGGTTCCGTTCACCCTCCCGAGATTTACGACTTGGCGTTTTCTACTACAAGTTCGCCTCGCCTCTTCCTCCTGCCGGAGATCGTTTTTGACCCCTCGGAACTAAAATTCTAGATAAAATATTGACTATAGGGTCAGTGAACGATGAGCACATGAGTGTTTACGTCCATAATATCCACGAAAGCAAAGAAAGTTCTGGCAAATATGAATCGACATCGATACACGAATCTATCGATGTTATCTTTTCCGGGCCAGCGCCCTCACCTACACTCAGTTGTTTGTGTGCTTAAGTATCCTTGTGCTCATCGTTCCGGTTCCCTAAAATATCGGAGTATGATTCCATGGAATTTTTTAGCCGAAATTTTGCTATATCAAAGCCATTGACAATACACTTACAATTTTATCTTTTATTTTTAGGAACTCAAATCATTACTTGATGTATCTCGAAATATGTCCGTCTATCGAAATTTATTAAAAAATGAATTAGTTGCTCCACCAATTGTAAGTCATCCAAAGAAAAACAATCAAATGAAATTATTATATATTTTTAGATTCCCATGTTTCCGGTGTGTATGAAAGATTTAACATTTATTCATTTGGGAAATTCAACTCAAGATGAAGGCTTAGTAATTAATTAATAGAAGAAGAAACAAAAAAAGTTCTATTATATTTTTATTTTATTCTTTAGATTAATTTTGAAAAACTTCGTATGATTGCTAAAGAAATTCGTCATATAACAAATATGGCATCATCACCATATGTAAATAAGAAAAAATACTTTTTTGACAAAAAATAAATTAATTATTTTTAGGATATATCTAATATGTTTGATTCGCCAACATCTCATACACAAGTATTTGCTGGTTTTGGCCATCAATCATCAACTGATTCATCGAATACAATACGAAGATATCAGACTGGTAATCGATTATCTGTTATGGCAAATGCTAAACGAGTTTATGATGAAGTAAATTTAATAAGAAAAAATAAACTAAACAATTAAATATTATTCTATTTAGGCATTAATGGTTAAAAAAGTGAAAACATATTTAAATAATGCTGAAATAATTGAAGATGAAAATCGTCTGCTAGAAATAGCTAATCAATGTGAACCTGGTGAGGACTGGATTTAAAAGAATATAAATTTTGTTTTTCTCATATTAAAGAATAAAATATTACAAAAAAACTAAAATCTATAATTTCAAAAAATAAAATGAGATTTTTATTCTAGTTTTTCATTTTCTTGAGCATACAAATCAAAAAATAAATGAACTTGGTGAGAATATGAAAGATTTCTGAAGCATGTTCTCATTTATTTTGAACAATATTTTATGCGCGCATGTCTTGGGTTTTTTCTTTTCCATATACTTTATGTATATTTTATATGTTTTCTTGTTTCAATATGACCAATTATATACGCACGTTTATTTCCTTTAGTTGGAGGAGGAAATTCACCGATATCCCCATCAACTCTCCTAACTGGACTTACATTGTTCAGTGATGAAAATGAATTTGTAGTTTTATCTATGCCAAGTAGTCCATCAGGATCGGATGGTACCAATACTGGTCTTGATGATGATAAAATCAGTACTATTATCGAAGATGAACAATCAACAAATAATCTCTCGAGTCGATTACGTCAAAATTCAACAACATCACCATTCAATGTTTTTAAAACTGCACTTCTCAATGGTATCTCAGCCAAAAGAAAATAAATAAATAAAGCCTCTAACCATTTTTTTCTCAGCATGCATATAAGCCCGATTACTGCTTGCTCATGACCTACTTTAATTAAATTCGCTATTATCTAGAATTGAATTTTCATCTTTTGTTTTTTTTCTTCTAATTTAGTAAGCACACTTAAACGTCGTCCATCACCATCAACATCAAGTTTATCATCAAATTCATCATCTGATCGTCGTGGTGGTGCAATACAATTAACTAAATTTGGTATGTAAATTTCATGACACGTGTTCAACAAAAAAGTTTTATTTCATATTTATTAGATAATTGTCCAGGTAAACCCTAAAAAAAAGAGGAATATATTTCGATATTGTCAGTAAATTCTATTTGTTTCTGCATGTGTCTATTCGTCGTGATAAAATTTTAATTTGAATACAGAAATAAAATAATCGGTGCGTTTTTTTTCTTCTTCCAGGTACACAATCACCAGATGCTGTTAATAAATTACTTCGTCTATCGGATAGTAGTCATCAAATAAAAAATCGTACACCACAACGTTCACAACATATACCAACATCATCTAGTCTTTCAAGTAGTACATCAACAAATAATCCTGGATCACCATTATTAAGTACTTCAACAACAACAACAGGACTTTCATCATTAGCTGAAGTATCATATCGTCAAAATCATCAACATCATCATCATCAGCATTTAAATAAAATGCGTGATACAAATAAATTAACAAGTGAAAGTTCAAGTTTAAATTTTAAACAACCAACATCATATTCACATATGATTAGATCACATACTCGTAAATATCTATTTTTTCTCAACTTAAAATATTTTAATAAATTTTTTTCGTTTTGAAGTAATACCTCAAAATAATAATGAATTAATTAAAGAAGGTGGAGATTCAGGACGTGGTAGTCTTAATTCAACCGATACTTGTAATATTAAAAGATAAGATTATATTTCGATTTTCTTATAAAATTATTTTAGGTGTTGGTGATGGAAGTGAAAAATCATCCAGTACAATTGGTGAAGGTTTTGCATCAATCAGAGTTCGAAATCGACCTCCATTACCACAATCAACATCTGTTACATCAAGTAATTAATAAAAAAAATCAATTGATTTTATTTTATGATTTTTGTTTCTTTTAGCAGCACATCCTGATAGTGCACCTAGTCCTAAAACAAAACGTCAATGGTTACAACGTTCCCAATCACATAATGAAGTAACAACAAATGATGGACCAAATCAAGGTATGTATCAAATATCGAGATAATAAAAGAAATGTATTTAATTAATTTCAAGGAAGTTTCTGTCGAAAAAATGTTGTGTAAGAATTGACGTATTATTTTTTTGTTTCCTTGTAGAAAATATAAAGACACAGATATTCTTGTTAAGTTTTGGTTGTATTATTTTATTTTTCTTAGTTTATTTCACGGATTTTATTCTAGAATTTTATATTTGAATATGAAAAATTAATTTAGTTTTTTTCTTAATTTTATTTTAGAAGACTCAACTGTCGATTTCGACGAACATGAACAAGTGACAGCAGTTTAATTCATATATATATGTGTGCTTATTTGGTTGTCTATTATGGCCCGGTGCCTCTTTTTCATTATTTTTCTTTTTTTTTTCATTGAACAGTGAAATTCTTTGCGTACTGCACATAAAACAATTCATCATTATATTGTACATTGTGCGTGTTTGTTTTCTTCTATTTGCATTTTTCTCTTCCCTATCGTGCGCATTCGTTTGTTTTATATTTTCCTATTGACTGTCTTTATCTATATATGTATGTTCTTATCTGATGCTCAACTGTTTTGTTGTGTTTATATTCTATTGATCTGATTCATTTCTTTTTCTCTTCTATCGAAGTAGTTATGTTCATATGCTAGATTTATATATAATCGAATACTCTCATTTCAACCGAGTTTATATACTTTGCCACGCGATTCAATATATTGATTACTTTACTATAACTCATAATTGGTTGTCAGATGTGCTACGCTTGCTTGTTTTCTTGCAGTTTTTTTTAAAAAGAACAAAAAAAAAGAATACTTAACAATAACAAATATTTCATTTTCCTTGGCTCTTTTTTTCGTCTTGCGAGTAGGAATAACTGTGATACTAAGATAAGGTCCAAACATAATATATCCAAGCTAAAAATGGTCTAATAATGTTGAATGAAAAAAGGAGCTAACTAATCTTATTCGCTCAATCATCATTTCGTTTGTTTTAATTGTGAAATTTCTCTATTATTTAATACTCAAACGCTTTTTTTTCTCCTTCTTCTTTGTTATATTCTCGCTTGTTAACTATTTATACAGCACAGTATATCTCGTATACAATTGTGTGTATTTATGTATTTAATATTCTACTTTTTCCCTATTTTATTGTTTATTTCATCGGAATATAAAATCATGTACGAAATAAATTTGAAACAACAAGAAAACATCAGTAGTCCAACGTACTTTCCGTACTAAAGGAAAAAAAACACCTGACGACACATGTATGGTCTGATTATCGTACGATTATTATCTTTGAAATAAAACATCTAAACAAACTTTCCTTTTTTTCATTCCTGTATATATATGTAGTCTTATTCTATTCGAATATTATTAATTTTTAGATAATTAAATCATGTCAACATTCTTTATTCTCACAGTATTATTCTGCTCTATCTGTTCAATATGGACAGCAACACCATTTAAGGATTGTGGATCAGTATTAGGTACTATTAAATCATTTGACGTCACTGGTTGTACAACAGTTCCATGTAAATTTGCCAAAGGACAAACATATACAATGAATTTAGAATTTCAATCAAATGCTACATCAAAAACAGCTTCAGTTCATATTCATGGTAAATAAACAAACTAATTATTATTTCTCTTAAATAATATTCATCTTTCTTCTATGAATATATAGGTGTTATTGGTGGTATTCCAGTTCCATTTCCATTACCTGATCCTGATGCTTGTAAAATGAATGTTAAATGTCCAGTCAATGCAAATGATGCAAACGTTGCAATCATGTCATTACCTGTCTTATCATCATATCCATCAATTTCACTCTATGTCAAACTTGAAATAACCGCTGATGATCAAAATAAAGATTATGCTTGTTTACAATTTCCAGCAACTATAACAAGTGGTTCAGCTCAAGAACGAAATTTAGTTGGTTGGAAAAAAGGCAAATTATTCGAAATGCTCAATTAATTTATATACAACTTTTTTTTACAAAACATTCAGCATAGCATTAAAAGATCTTTTTCTACATTCCAGTGATTCTACTTTATTGTCTTTCTAATATATAATTCAGCGTTTTTTTCATTGCATGTGACATTTTTATTTTCTATTAAAAATAGACTTAACATTACATATACTAATTTTTATATCGAGGAGTTTTATCTGCATCCAGTGCACTATTGTTTATAAGTATAACCAATGAAATCGTACGTACACACCTGCATCTATTCGCACTTATCTTATATCCATAACAGATAAGATACAAAATAAATATTACTTCTATATATTAGATACTCTTTGTTTTTGTTTATCATAAGAGCCATAACGATGATTGTAGCGCATATATATATATATATGTAAATCATTATAATCGTAAGTAGTTGTATGAGAGTATGAAATAGTGTTACATTAAAGTAAGCAATGCGTATGATTTAATATTTTATTTTAAGAATATCGTCGCTTACGAATAAGTATATCATAGATTACCACTCGTCATAATAGAGATCTAGAATTTCGTTCTCAGCAGTAAAAATACGAAATCGAAATCTTATAATCACTTTTATAAAGATCATATAAAGTTTCCCAGCAAAAACAAAATGGCATACAACTGGTAAAAGTAATTATTCATGCGCTTACTATCCTATCAGATTACTAAATTTGACATTCAAAGGATTCAATATGTTTTTTTTCTACGTAATAAGGTTTGTTTTTCTATAAAAAGAACATTCTTTTTCGTATCATAGAAATCAGTATGTTTTGCGTTTTAGAAATTAATTTATTATTATTATTTTAGATAAAATGGCAGCTTGTTTAGACGAAAAATTTGAAAGTTTAGAATCAATTTTAGCTGAGCATTTACCAGCTGATGTACTTGCAAAAGTAAATTTATCTCTTCGTGGACCAGGTTCAATGTAATTTGAAAATATTTATATGTCAAAATATATATACATATATTATTTTAGTGATCTTGAATTACCAGCAAAAGCTAAAGAAACAGCTAAAAAAAATAATTTTGATTTACAAGGTTATGAAATAAAAGTCGGGCAAAAAGAACAATCACGACCATCACGTTTAGTTCGTATTGGTGCCATTCAAAATGCTATCCAAAAGCCAACGACAGCTTCTGTTCAAGAACAAGTATTACAAACAATTTCTTAGTTTGTTCTTTATTGTGAGTTTTATCTATATAATAGAGAGATGCTATTCATGAACGTATCGATCAAATGCTTGCTGTTGCACATGAATGTCAAGTAAATGTTGTTTGTATGCAAGAAGCATGGAGTTAGTATTAATTAGAGGGGAATATTTTTCTTTATAATAATGAGAAATTATTTAATTTTAGCTATGCCATTTGCTTTTTGTACAAGAGAAAAATATCCATGGGTTGAATTTGCTGAAACAGCATATGATGGACCAACAACAAAATTTCTTGCTGAAGTTTGAATATTGATTTAGATAAATATGATTTAATTAATAAATTTAGAGAGCAAAAAAATATAATATGGTTATTGTTAATCCAATATTAGAACGTGACGAAGAACATGGTGATGTTTTATGGAATACAGCAGTAATTATTTCAAATCATGGTAATGTTATTGGTATTACAAGAAAAAATCATATTCCAAGAGGTAAAATTTTGTTGAATAAATTCAATTTTAATACTTTAATTTTTTTCTTTATTATAGTTGGTGATTTTAATGAAGTAATTTCTATTTGAATATATTTTGTTAATTCATAATTAATAATTTTTTTAAATTAGTCAACTTATTATATGGAAGGAAATACAGGTCATAAAGTATTTGAAACAGATTTTGGTATATTTTTCTATTTTGAACGTATTTTATTACTAATAATTATTATTATTTTCAAGGTCGTATTGCAGTAAATATATGTTATGGACGTCATCATCCACAAAATTGGCTTATGTATGGTGTGAATGGAGCAGAAAGTAAAGAAATTTTTTTTGATAATTTCTATAATAATGAATTCTTATTATTTTTTAGTTGTTTTTAATCCAAGTGCAACAGTTGGAGCACTTAGGTAATATTGAAATATATATTGTAGTGATAGAGAGAATAGGATTGAATATTTAATAATATTTAGTGAACCTTTATGGAGTATTGAAGCACGTAATGCAGCTATTGCCAATAGTTATTTTGCAGTTGGTATTAATCGAGTTGGAACTGAAACATTTCCGAATGATTTTACAAGTGGTGATGGAAAACCAGCTCATAAAAGTTTCGGACATTTTTATGGTAAAATTCATGTGTAATAATAATAACAGATAAATAAATTTTATGTTTATAGGAAGCAGTTATATAGCCGCACCTGATGGCAGTCGAACACCTGTATGTTAACTTTTAAACTAGAAGAAAAATTTGAATATTTTCTATTTAGGGTTTATCTCGAGTTCGCGATGGATTATTAGTTGCTGAATGTGATTTAAATTTATGTCGTCAAATGAAAGATAAATGGGGTTTTCGAATGACACAACGTCTTGATTTATATGCTGACAGTTTTGCTCGAGCAATTCATCCAGATTATAAAATGGATATTATTAAAGATCCAAATTCAAAGCAATAAGACTTTTTTTTAATACATATATTTTATTTTATGGCTAAACCGTAGTATTTCATTCCGTTAATAAAAATAAATCAAGCATATTATACATGTTTTACTAAAAATTAGACATAGAGATATTGTGCAATAATTTTAAAATGATGAAATCAAGTTACCATAGTGTTTTTTGTTTTTCTTTGTTAATATAGATGCCTAGAAGTTATTTTAGACTTGGAAACAAAATGGAGGTTTATCATACAACAATATTTTTGTTATTTTGTTAAAAGCATATTAATATGAGCAATGGAAAAAATAATCTATAATGATATTATTGTGTTGCTGTAAAATAGTGCCTAATGTAATTGCACAATAGTTACTACTATTAAAATTTCATCATGCTTTTCATGAATTAGTATTTGCAACTTCACTATTATTAGAATAATGAAATGTGTAGCTCTGAAGAACACTTATACACTTCAGTATGTAAAGCTTGAAAATATGAATCATTAATAGCGAAATTTCTCGATTTTTATATTACTATTCAAATATTTTCGTTAATATACTACCATTATGTTGATAAAAACGTTTTATTTTTCATTTTCTTGAATATATTTGCTTACTTCTCGATCATTCCATTCAAACGTTCTTAGAAATCTTTGATCTTATTTACATTGACACATGATAGATGCAAAGTTTCTCCAAAGTATGTTTCTATTTTACAGCATAAATTTAAAAATTCCATAGCTGACTGCATATTTTCTTCTAAATTAATTAAAAAAATTCCTCAATACAAAATATTTTTTTAATATTGCTGACAAAAACTCATGTTAAGGTTTCATTTTTTAATAATATTCTCACGGGAATAAATCAATTAAATATTTAATTATCATCATACAAAGATGCACAATATTGAAAAGACTTTTGTATTCTATAAATACCTTATGTAATTATGTCTTAAATGGATTCAACAATATATATATATGACTAAGCAAGTTATGTGAAAATGTATATCATTACCAAGCATACAATTTTCTTTTCATTTTAATTATTTGAAAAATAAAGAGTGTATGTATTCATTACACTTTCCAGAAAAATAACGAAATGATTGAAGTAATATATAATTAATATCTTTTTATCTAACTTAAATATTATATATATCATCTTTTTCAAATTAACATCAATATATTTTTACAACTTAATATATATCATCATATCTGGTTAAAATGAAAGCAACAATTATCAAGGTCATTATATATTTAATCTGTTATATATCTATTCAATTCATCATCGTTATCTGTTTATTTTCATATGTATAAAATAAATCTCTCGTAAAAGTGTTATTAATCTTAAAATTTGTTCATCGTATAATCCGAGAAAAAAAAGAAACACAATTTATTTTCAGACAGAAATATTTGACTATTTATTTGTTTTTGTCAATAATTATGATATTCTTATTTTTTCTCTTACTGAATTCTTTTTTTTTGTCGTCCTTTCATTCTTTAGTATACGCACATGCATCATATATTTGAGCACAAAAATATATTCATATTCTGTTCTTTAGTTTCTTCGATCATCGACATTCATGAAAAGAAGAAAGGGAGAAGAAAAAAAAGGCATAGAAAGAAAGAAGAATAACGGAGCTCGTTGTTTAACTACATATGACTGAAAACAAACTTGACGTACCGAGAAAAAACTGTTGTTATGCTGCGTCAATGTCGATGAACAAATAGTAATGACGAGTAAGTATAACTCGACTACGCTCTTCTGTCTAAATTTAATATTTCTTTGAAAAAATAAAAAAAATATTTTTTTGTGTACTATTCTTTTCTACATTTTTCTTCTGTTTTCTTTTCTCGTCTTCGTTTTTTCTTTTTCTTCTTTCATACTTTTCTTTGTCATAAACGATCATAATGACGCGTTCGAACTCGTCGTTTTTTTTCTACACAGTTTATGTGGCAGGCAAAAAATTGGATATAAAATAAATCAATCATTTTTCTTCGTTCTTAGATTTCATGCGTTTGAACTTTTATCGACAATTACAATATTTTAACTTAATCATATTATTATTTAAATAATAAAAATATTATATATATACATATTATCAGTAATATCAATATAAATATGACTGATAATCTGAATAATCTATCAATATCAACAGACAAATTACCTAATGGACATGAATATACAACATTAGCCAATAATAATACAACATCAAAACGACGAAAACTTATTTTACATTTTGATAATCGAAATACCTTAGAAGTAAGTTCTTTTTTTTCTTCTTATTAGTTTTTATATGAAATTTTTATTTTAGGTTGCCAATAATGTATCAGCAACAACAATTGAACAAGGTATGTATAAAAAGAGAAATTTATTTAAATACTGTTAAGTGAAAAAAATATTTTTAAAAAGACAAAATTATATATTCCGCCGTCTAAAAAAAGTTACTCAACCACAAAACTCGGTACTTCTAAATATGAGACAGAATAACTTTAGTAATAAAATTGATTAATTTTATTATATATATATTTTCTTTTAGGTGTAAACAATTTTTTAACAGGTGTCCTTTGGGGTTCTGAAAAAGAGAGTACTGGTGAATGGGAATGGGTGTCAACATCACCGTCACTTCAAAAACCAGTAAATTGTTCACATTGTATAACGTATTTTAAATATCTCGAAAATCAAATTGTTAAACAAGCTATTGATAGAAAAGATTTACGTGCAAAAACTGGTAGTTTTGTATATAATGAAGGTGCACGTTTTCGTCAATTTTATGATGAATTAATTGAATCATTACGATATTATAAATTAGGAAGTAAGGAACGTGAGCAGGAAGATAAAATATTAACTTTAGAAGAAGTACAAAAACAAAAAGCAGATGAATTAATAAAAAAACAAGAAGAGAATGAACGTAAACGACGTCCATCTGTTTTACATAATATTCCAATACCTGTAAATGGTTATCGTTCGGAAAAAGGTACACTTTATCATTACGTTTTACCATCATTTTTTCGTCTTATTGAATATCTACAAGAAACAGATCGAGATTTTGTTATTTATTTACGAACAATGGGTGATGATAGTAAAAATTTTCTATTAAATGCCCAACGTATACTTTCAAATGAACATCCAGAATTTCGTTTTAAACAATCACTTGATGTTAATCATGAACCAGGTCGTATTGAACGTAAAACAAATGATATAATTCGTCTTCAAATGAAATTTCAAGAAGATCCAGAAATGGAAATAATCGAAGATGAATTTTTAATTAATGAAAAATTAGAAAGTGGTCATGGTATACATGCAATAAAAGATGATTTTAATGCATGGTGTCAAACAAATTATCATTATACAACATCAAAACCAATATGGTTTGATCCAGATGATTTAAATCCTCAATCACATCACATTTTATTTGATGATAATTTTCGTGTTATTCATCCAAATGATTCTATTGTTGATATTCGTATAATGGATAAGAAGAAACGAAAATGTTATTCATGTCCATTTGAATTTTATCCTAAACTTGAAGATGTATTTGCTGTACAAGCAAATTTATATTTAATATTAGCTGATAGAGATTATTATATAAAATCAATTACAGAATGTGAAAATAATCTTGATCAACTGCTTCAAGATACTCAAACATTAAAAGCAATCAAAGAAAAAAGTTGTATCGATCATAAATAAATCAAAAAAAAGAAAGAATAAGATAAAGAAATAATTTTACAAAAAATATGATTATAGCGATATGATTTTTCTTTGTTCTATTGTCAGATAGAATGAAACTTGTGTGCGTGCGCGTGTGTTTGTTGTTTTTTTTCCATAGTCTATTTCCGGCTTTCTATCTGCTAGTACAAACTTTGAATGTTGTCAATTCCGTCCTTTTTTTCTCATTGTTATTGATCAATGTAACAAAGATTTGAAAATGCAAATTTGACGACTATTAATACTATGTATAAAAACATATGGTCATGTTTTTCTGGATTCATTTTTTTTCAAAAACTGGTTTGATAGAAAGAAAGCACCTTCTCAAGTTTTTCGTTATATACACATACATAACTATAATAAAAACAAATATTTTCTTTTTGTGATCTTTTTTTTTTTATTTTTATTTTTTATTTTTAAATATCAGAAATAAATATCAATAATAAATTCTTTATAGAGAAGAATAATCCATGTTTCTACATATATAATCTTATGAAACAGTTGAATATCCTGAAAAGATATATGATAAAAATTTTCAGTTCATGCTTCCTGTACTGTAATTCAAAATTTAACATGATATTCGTTTAGAAATAAGCATTATAAGTGGGAAAATATTGATTACATAAAAGTTCAAAACAAGCATCTATGATAATCATATATAAATATTATGAAAATAGTATTGAAAGCCTAGGTTTTTTTTTCTGTATTAATGTGTGTGAAGTTTCTTCTTAAAATATGTATTGATTTTGATCAATTTTGTAATGTACATAGGAATCCTTAAACATTTAAAATCCATTTTTTTGTCGATTTGTTTTCAAAACAAAGACAAACTTGAAAATGTACTCAATAATTTAACTTGTTTTACGAATCATTCGACGATGAATAATAAGATTAATGCTTAGAATGAAAATTTTGTACTTAAACAACAACAAAAAAAGAATTATGTAAACTATAATAAGATACAATTACCAAATGAAGGAATAGTGAATCATTCTTTTAAAAATTTATTATTCGATTCTCTATTCGTTATCAGTGCAGAATAGGGGCCTGCACGGAGTCATTTTCGGAGTCGCCGTTGGAATCAAGTAAATTTCATGTAAATAATTCAAGTTTAACGTTAATAACTATTTAAGTTCATAGTTTTGTTGTCCGACATTTTCTCTATAAAACTTGGTATTTTGAAGGATAGGTCGATGCTTTGTTGAACCTCACCAACACAAAAGAAAATCGGAGCCAAGAAAAGTCGGAATCACTTTCTACTCCGACTTTTTCTGTATGTTATTTTGGTTTGTGAGACTCGATAAGATGTCTGTCGATCCTTCAAAATACGTAGTTTTATAGAGAAAATGTCGGACAACAAAACTATGAACTTAAATAATTTTTAACGTTAGACTTGAATTATTTACATGAAATTTACTTGACTTCGAAGGCGACTCCGAAAATGACTCCGTACAGGTCTCTAGCGCAGAATAAAATAACTTAATACTTTCCTTTATCTAGTGTAGACTTCCATCTAAAATACTTGAAAGCAGATGTTCTAACGAAAAACAATCTTTGTACCTAGCAAATTCATCTTGTCATATGATTTCTTTGAAACCGAAATTTTTGTTTGCTTTGTTATTTTATTTATCTAAGTAATATCAATCGAGGTTTAGTGACTTATTCGCTATTGTTTTATAAGATGAATTTTATTTGAAGAAAGGCGAGCACAAATCTTTGATCTAGGAAAATGAGAAATATGTAGGTTTGTAGAGAAAAATTTTCTCTATCGATTCTGTTGAGTACCGTAAAACTCTATTTTTGGCTTGAATTCAAGCCAATTAGAGACCCGTATCGGAGTCAATTAAATCTCTTGTCTATAATTCATTTTTTACATTAAATTTTTTTTGAGACGAAGGTTTTGTTCCCTGATGTTTTATTGAGGTTCACGGACACAAAAGAGAGCTGTATGTCTGTCTCTAACTGGCTTGAACTCAAGCCAAAAATCGATTTTTACGGTACTCAACAGAATTCGATCGAGACAATTTTTCTCTACAAACCTACATATGTCTCATTCTTGCGTAAAGTTTTACTATGAAATTTGTAGTCGTCTTTGAAGAAGTCTTGATGTGATAATCTTTATATTCATATTATGTATCATCATATAATATGAATTTATAAAAACAAATGAAATGATTAAAGATAATATGTTCTTGATGTATCAATGATAGTTTTTGAGAAAATTGTATTAAGAGTTTTTTGCTATTCAACTTGACTTCTTACAAGAGATAATTATGATATTATCAAGAAGCTTTCAATGAACAATTTTTTTTTATAATATATACGATGAAAAAAAGAATTTTTTAATATTTCTATATTTGACATGCTTCTTAATTAAGTATTCAAATCTTGTTTCTAATCAATAAAAGTTCTTGAAATAACTGAAAATTTGTTGAGTAGGAAATTGTTATTGAAAAAAAAGATAATTCTATATGATTTTCATAATAGAGAATATGTCTCTAATAATGTGTACCATAGGACTCAATACTCGAGATTTGAACGATGTTCGCGTAATCATTGAAAAAGAAAATTCTTTCGCCTTGCAAACATCAGCCGGATATGAAATTATGAGTAGAACGATGCGCTAAGAAGAAACGGATGAGCACTCGTGTTTTGACGTGATGCTACCAAAAATTGGTGACATTTGTTGTCTTGTATGAGTTCGACAACGAACAAAACTATATTGACGAAAAAAAAAAGAATTAGCTTGTGCAATATATTTCTAACAGGATGATGAAACTCATTTTTTTCCTCTCTCTCTCTTTATCCTTGAGAAAATCTAAAAATGAAAACAAAGAGAAAAAGAAAAGCGACAAGAAATTTTCTCTTTTTTTTTCTAATGATAAAACTATCGTGATTGAGTGATCAAGCATGACTTATGAATGTCAACTAAATACATTTATATATTTATTTTACTATATATATATCTTGTAAATTAACCAAACAGAAAACAGCTAAAACAACAAGCGGATCAAATTATTATTGATCATAAAACATCTCGAAATGTGCTTATAAGGGATGGTTGCACTTTCCACTTATATTATTGTAAAAATAGTTTGATGTTTGTCAATACATATATATATATATATATCCCTGAAAATTGATAATTAGTCAAAATTATCACAACTTTGTGACTAAATCATTTCGAAGGTTAGAGAATATGTTTTTTTTTTCAGAAAAGAATATAAGAGAAAGAAAGAAAGACAGACATGAGAATTTGCTTTAGTTGATTATTGTAATGTCTCTTCTTCTTCGCTCAATATACAAGAAATATAACCTAAAGATGCATGAGAGCGGGAAAAAGACGTATGTGTGTGCGCAAGCAAGCAGAATGAAAAAAGATAGGAATGAAGATCAGAAACCCTGAACAGTAATCACTGAATACCATTCTGGTATGCATCGTCTTCTAGACGTGATCGCACGACAATAATAACGGGAACGACAACGACGACGACGAAAAAAAATAGTAGTACTAGTAGTAGTGATCTGCTATTTCAGATAAAGATTGATAGATAGATAAATACTCTCACCGAAACAAAGAGACAGAGGGAGAGAGAGAGAGAGCGGTAAAGAAGAAGAAGAGGAAGAACAAGAAACAAAAAGAAAATAGAACAATATATCAAAGATTGATTATCTTTTCATTGGTTCTATACATTATTGAATAGTGAGTATGACATGAAGAACATACTATTGACGATTAGAAAAACAAATTGAAAAATGATTACATAAAAAAATTTTTTCATCATGTGTACTAATATTTCCTTTTTCCTTTCTCTTTTTTTCCATAGGCTTCGTTGTTTTTAATATTAATAATAATAAAAAAAAAACACAATGTCGTATTACAATGGCTCCTGATGCTCTATCAACATTTCTATCACGACTGATGTACTCTACACGTCATGTCATCAAGGAAACTTTAATTCTTAATTTAGTTTATTTTTATTTATTGCCTTGCTACTACTACTATTGTCTTTTGTTATTATTGCTATTATCATTTCGATGTTCAAACAGCTTCTTATATTATCTCAATACGGAATCAATCGTCTGTTAATTCATGTTTTCATCATCGTGTGGCTTTCAGCTACCATTCCACATTCTCATTTTGTTATGTGTTATTTTAATCGTTTATCAGGTAGATATATATATATATATATTTCTTCTATTCTAATTGAAATCAAATTTTTTGTTTGGAAAATAATATTACACAAGAAAAAGAAAAAGGATTTGTTGTAATATTAAAAGCAAAGGACATTCATAAAAAAAATTATATCGAGTGCACTACACACAAAGATCTCTGGAGACTATGTTGCTTTACTCATGAGTTTTAGTTTAACTATACTAATCTATAGAAATTTATATTAATAATCTAAGTAAAATATGATAAATAAAAATCTCTATAGTATTCATATTGATGATAAAATTCAATTGTTTCGAATGTTATAGAGCATTATATAACCATAGTTTTTTTCCCTTAAGATTTACATGAGAAAATTCTATCATATTGAAGTATGCTATAGCATTCGAAATTATATTGAAATTTTACTTTTAGAAATAAATCTTTTTTTGTCTTTTTAGCCATTTCACCTCTATCTGACGCTCAAATTGTAATTGGCGCTTTCTTTTCCCTACATAATCCTCCAACATTACATGGAGGTGGTCGATTACGAGAATGGTAAATAATTATTATGAATATATTTTAATTAAATAATATGTTTTTTCTCTCTGCAGTGGTGATATTCGTGAAGACTATGGTATTCATCGTGTCGAAGGAACATTTTGGATACTTGATCAAAGTAAAAATAATATTTGAATTAATATAAATCTTGTTCTCTTGTCTTATTCATAGTTAATTCTAATCAATCTATATTACCAAATATTAGTCTAGGATATCAAATTCGTGATTCTTGTTGGTATGCACCTGTTGCTCTTGAACAAACGATTGAATTTATTGGTAATTCAGTATTAAATCCTGGAGATTTAGTATTGAATGCGAATGGAAATCGAGCTCGATTAGCTGCTGTTATTGGTCCAGGTGATAGTTCAATAACTATGCAAACACATAATATTTTACAATTATTTGAAATGCCACAAATTGGTTATTCAGCAACAGCAAAACAATTAAGTGATAAAGAAAAATTTAAATATTTCACACGTGTTATTGCATCAGATACACAACAAGCACAAGCAATTGTTGATATTATACGACAATTTAAATGGAGTTATGTTGCTACAATTGGTACTGAAGGTAAGAATTCAATTTATTTTCAAATAAATAAATACTTAATATTTTGAATAGGTGATTATGGTCGTGGTGGTGTTGAAGCTATTCGTCGTTTACTTTATAAAGATGCATGTATTGGTGAAGATTTAACAATGGTAAATACTACTATTAGTTTAATTAAATATTCGAAAAGATTTTTTTTATTTATTAGCCAATTGGTGCCAATCAAACAGTTGCTACTCAGCTAATTAAACAACTCGTTATTCGAGCTCCTCGTGTACAAGTACTAATATGTTTTTGTCTCGATCATTCTATTCGAGCTATTCTACAAGCCGTAAATGAGTTAAATTATACACAACGATTTATTATTCTTGGAAGGTAATTGGATTATTTTGTATATATAAATAATTGAAAGCCTAATTTTTCAATAATGTTACATTATCTATCTAGTAGATCAAAGATGAATAGTAATATTATTAAAGAAAAAGAATAGGAAGTTTGAGATGACTAGATCTTATAGATTTCCGATTTTGATGAATGTCTAACATGACTTGATCTTATAATTCTAGTGATGCTTGGGCTGATCGTTTGAATGTAATACCAAATAATACTGAAAGTGTCGCATTAGGTGCAATCACAGTAAGACTTACAATCCTCTATTTTATAACTTTAAATTGAATATACATATTTTTCTCTTTTCAAAAAAAGATTAAAGCACGTTCATTACGTGTACCCGGTTTTGAACAATATTTTCGTCAATTACATGTACATAATAATACACGAAATGTTTGGTTTCGTGAATATTGGCAACAAAAATTTGCATGTACATTTAATGATACGGAAAATAGATTTATACGTCGACCAAATAAATATATTCCACCATGTATACCTGAACGTGAAAGTCTTGCTAAAGCACCTTATAATGAAGATCCAAAACTTGCATTTGTTATTAATTCAATATTAGCGGTTGTACATGGTCTAGATAAAATGCATAAACAAATTTGTAATGGAACTGCTGGTTTATGTACAGAAATGGCTCGTATGAATTCATCATTATTAATGCATTTTTTAAAAAGTAGTCGATTTACAGGAATTACTGGTAGGAATTGAAATTTATCGAATTGAAATAGTGTGAATTTATTTTTCTTAGGTGAAGAAGTATTTTTTGATGAAAATGGAGATGGTCCTGGAAGGTAGAAAATGATAAAAAAGAGTCTTTGTTTTTTTAATTTTTTATGGAATTTTTTAAGATATGACGTATTGAATTTACAAGGTAACCCAAATGATCCCGATAATCAACTTCATTATGTTCAAGTTGGAACATGGAGTACAGGAAAATTAAATTTAAATATATCAGCTATACGTTTTTTTTCTGATCAACGTCCATTCGAACAAATAAATGTTCGTCGATTTTGTAGTGATTCTTGTCCAACTGGTTATATTAAAGTTAGTTTTTCTATTTATTTAATTATTCGATTCTTATTTTCTGATCTTTAGAAATATACGGATGAAGAAAGATGTTGTTGGAAATGTCTTTCATGTGGTGATGCTATTGTACTTGATGAAGTAACATGTTTTACATGTCCACCTGGTTTTGGTCCTAATGCTGATCATACAGGTAATTGAATATTCGCTTTTAATTAAAGATAGAATCGATCTATTGAATACTAAAGCATCTTCTTTTTCTTCCCCGATCAAGTATAGAATAAAATTGATTTGTTTTATATATATAGCTTGCGGTCTTCTACCAATAATAACAATCAATTTTCGTCATCCACTATCAATCATAATCTGTTTTATAGCTGGTGTTGGTATACTTATAAGTATTTTTGTTGTTTATATATTTATACGTTTTAATGCAACACCAGTTGTTAAATCAACAACAAGAGAATTAAGTTATTTAATTCTAACAGGAATATTATTTTGTCATTTAACAGCATTTATTGTTTTACAAAAACCATCATTTATTATATGTGTTTTAACACGTTTATTACCTGGTATATCATTTTCCATGATATATGGTTCATTAGTAACAAAAACAAATCGTATAGCACGTATATTAGCACGTAGTAAAAAGAAAATTATGACAAAACGTTTAAAATTTATGAGTGCAAAACATCAACTTGCTATTGCTTGTCTTATACTTGTTACTGAAATTATTATTGTTGGTATGAATAATTTAGTTTTAATTAATCCAGTATATATATATATGTTTATTATCTTTAGCTGTTACTGTTTATCGAGATCCACCTAAAGCAGTTTTAATTGAAACAGGTGGACGTTTATTACTAACATGTAAGATTATTTTATATGAATTTTTTACCGAATTTTTTATTCTCTATTATTAGGTAAAAAATCACTTCAAGGTATTGTAGCTCCACTTGGTTTTGATGGTTTACTTGTTTTTTTATGTACACTCTATGCTGTAAATATTTTTTTTTGGTCAATTATTATTAAATTTTGAATTTTCTCATTGCAGATTAAAACAAGAAATTTACCTGAAAATTTTAACGGTAAGTTAATTATTCATATAATTGATAATTCATTTTCTTTATGAATTAATAGAAGCGAAATTTATTGGTTTTTCTATGTATACAACATGTGTTATATGGTTAGCATTTGCTGCTGTACATTTTGCTACTGACGTTAAAGTTTTTTCATTATGTGTTGCAACAAATGCAAGTGCATATGTTGTATTAATATTTCTTTTTTTTCCCAAACTTTACTTAATTATATTTAAACCAGAAAAAAATCAACGAAGGTAATAAAAACTTCTCAAGAAACAAAATGTAGAATTCTATGGTTTTTCTTATAGTGCATTTGCAACAAATAAAGATATTCGTTGTCATTTTGGTTCATCAACATCAAAAAGTGATATGTCATCTTATCAATTTAATGATGGTTCAGCATTATTTCGTCGATCTGTTTTACATCGTATTCGTTTTGGTAATACTATACGTTTAAAAGCTGAATTAGAACATGCAGCTGCTGTATCACGTAATGTTGATTCATCGAATCATGAACGTCGTTCATCGCGTACTTTAACAGCTGATCCAGGTCAATGGACACAAAATTATCACCATCGTCGTCGTTCATCAACTCCAGCAAAACTACCAGCAACACCAAAAAATACTGATAGTTTACCTCAAGATACGAATATATTAAATTCAACAACATCGGATAATATGCCTAAAATACGACAAACAGATTCACTTCCACTTATTTCATCTGTAATACCACCAATATCTTTAACATCTTCAATGGATATTATCGATCTCGAAACGAATGAAAAAACACCGATGATCAATCAACAACAACGATCATTAACTCATTCACCTGATTGTATTTATGCAACTAGCCAGTCCAATATGATGAATTCTATTGCACCGAATGATTTAGTTCGACATCGTCATAAAACTACACGAAAGAGAAGTATTTCAAGTTCAATTAATGATTTACCATTATCAATGAAAATACCTGAAATTGAAAGTGAAACATCTAGTGCATGGACAAATGAAGGCATAGGATTTAATTCCTATCAAACAACAACACCAATAATAAATCCTGAACCTGCTTGTTCATGTCAATTACTATGGCAATTAGAACGAGATACTGATAGTATTGATAAATTTAAATTATTTTTTAAACGAGATCATTTAAATGTCGATTGGGATTATGTACAAGGTTCAAGTGAAGTTTAAATCAAGCAGATATTTATTTTATCAAAAAAAACTTCTTTTTTTCTCTCATGTATTTATAAGCACAAAAGACTTATCTATATACATATCACTACATTTATATATTTTGTTCAAACAGTAACTCATGTTTATTTTCATTTCATTAGAAAAACACACACACACACACACACACTTAAATATAGAATAATTTTCTTTTGTAATAGAAATTGAATATCAATCGATCAGTTTACACATATTTCATCTTTCGATATCATATCTGACATATTCTCACGGTTTTAACTAAGTTTACGTCAAAAAGTATTGCTCATATTTAATAGAATAAATATAACATCGTTTGACGTCTTATTTGATTTTATTGCTAAAAGGAAAAATAGTCGTTAAGCATTTTTTCGAAGATTGTCTAGGTTAACAAACAAACAAACAAAAAGAAAATGGGAATCACAGGCAAGCACATTGTTTAACAATTACATCTTTAATAGGATAAATTTCAATACTACCATCCATTTGTCTAAGAAGAAAATTATCGTCAGCAAATTGTGATGGTGCACATGTTGATTGTGGTATATTGGGATTTTTTTTATTAATCATTGATTGAAATATTGCATGAATTGATGATTGTTGTTGTTGTTGTAAGATTGTATGCGAACATGAACCATCACAATATGTAAATGTATATTCTTTTGGTCGAATAATTAAATAAGCTAAACCAAGATCTTCAAATTTAATTTGAATTGTTTTAACTTTACACATTGATAATGATGAATCAGTTTGTGTTTTTGTTAATTGACGAAGATCAAATGAAAGTGTTGGATTTAATTTTAATGTTTGATTAGGTTTAAGCTGAAGATTTGTTGATGATATTATCATATATGTATGTGATGTTTGACATGTTTCATTATTTATTATTGATTCAATAAGAAAATTTTCATTCTTAATTTGAACAATATATTCAAATAGATTAATTGAATAAAAATCTCGATTAGAATCAAATTGTAAATATGTATTGATTGTAAATAGTTCTAACAATGTTTGCGAATGTTTAAATTTGAGATGTAATGGAATTGTTATTAATTGTTTTATTTCTTGTGAATCAATATGATAGATAAGTTCAATAGAAGATAATAATTCGATTGAATAAGACCAAAGAAATGTTGTTTGAACTTGATTATCAATTATTAAACAATTAGTTGATTGTAAAGTAAATATTGGACTATTGGATATATTATCATTTAAACGTTTGCGTCTTCGATTTTTAACTAGATGAGAAAATAAAATAAAATAAATGAAATTTTTTTGTTATTCTTACTTTTTATTGAATTACTAGCCAAATGATGATTATAAATCATTGAACGAACAAGAGATGTGTGTGATATATTAAGTAAATCAATAAAATATTGTCTTAGAATAAAATTACGATATGAACTATTAGACATAAGTTCAAATTGATTTGAAGTTGATGATGATGATAAATTATTCGATGTCGGAATTGAAGCAGAATGTGTTGAACAAAATAGATAAACAACAATAATAAGGAGAAAAAGAAGGAGAGGAATTTTTGAAAAAAACTTGAATGGAAAATGTTGTGGAAATTTAATTAAATTCAATAATAATCCGGTAAACATTACACTAATGTATACATTCGATAAAAACAGCTGCTAATATGCTGTTGTTGTTGATTAAATTTCATTAAAATAATCAAATATATATTCATCATCACGAAACACGATGATAAATAAATGACTAAGGAATTTTGATGATTATCAAAATTCTTTCAACGATTTCGTTAATATAAATCGAACTAAATATAAACAAAAAAAAGAAAGTACATAAATATATATCGATAGAAGAATAAGAAAAAATTGATGATAAATAATATAAACAAATTTCAAGTACACAATACTGTTTATTTCTATTGAAAACAATATATAATATTACATGCGTATATATACATATGGAATCTTTCGATTGAAATATGTCCAACATTATTTTCTTACTGATTAGAAAGATTATAGACGTATTTGTCTATGTGCAATTATTTAAAAATGAAACCAGACAATATGGTATTTATTTCTTTTTCTCCTCTTCATACATTCACTCTTTACTCGTTCTTGTACAACTAACATTCCAACTATAATAATTATAAACTCTTCAAGTACAATTGAATTAATATATCCAAATAATTCAAAGTATATCACATAGATAAAAATGACGAAATTGAAGCGAGAAAAAAAATACATTTATCTACTATGGTATTCTTATGAATTTTCATTTCGATTCGATCAATCATTTATATATTGATGTTGTTGAACTGAGTACTCAATCAATCATGTCGGCTACTAGTACTGTCATTGATAACGGATATATATCTTATTTTACTAGATCTAAACATATATCAGTTGATTTTTATTTGTGATTCGATATAAAATAAGCATAAAAACAGGCCAAACACTAATTTTATATGATATACTTACATAATAAGTATTAATACAAAATTTTTGTGAGAAAATTATGTTGTTGATTAATTTGATGAAAAAGAAAAAAAGTAAAATTTGTGTTTCTAATATTCAAAGATTAATTCAGTTTAAGAATAAAATGTATAAGATAGAAGTGTGCGTGCCAAGACAAAGAAATAGAAAGAAACGAAAAACTGTGAGTAGCACGAATTTATAAGAACAATCGATGATGTTTAGTTTTATGCGTGCTGTCATTTATTATCTTATTCGCTTTTTTTGTATACTGTACAAGACCCTGGCCAATGTTATTCTTTCTGTTTGTTTCAGAACACAAGAAAATGATATCAAAAAAATGCTCCTATATTTTTTCTTTTACGTCTTTTTCTTTTAATACAATTCGTATTATATTATCAAGGGTATCAAGATGAAACGAAATTCAGATTATAACAAAGATAGTTAATAAAAAGTATGCGTTATGAGCACGTGCCTGTTTGATATGATTTTTAAGTGCAAAAACAACAACAACAGTATATAAAAAAACGCACTCAATCATATGTTATATCAAGAAAGATTATTGCACGTTCGTACTATACCCTATTTTAAGTTTATTTCTTTTTTTTTCTAGAATAAAAACGAAATGTACTAATTAGTTATATATAAAATGTGGTGTTGGTTGTGAATTGAAACTTTGATTAAACTTTGTATTAGACGATGTTTTTTTCGATATTGTTGATGCAAATAATCGTCGTATGCTATAGACTTGAATCATTGAACATATAATCATTGTTAGAATTTGAATTATTGCCCAATTTTGCACATAAATTTTATTAGCTTGTATTGTATATAAATCACGTACCTCATGAACTCGTCCTGCTGTTTGAAAAGCACTAACACGATAGAGTGTATGGGATATATTACCAAGAGATGTCTAAAAAAATACAATATGCTTAATTTTTGATTAAATAAAGTATTAGATAGACTATCAATATGATCGTATAATTAATCAATTTACCATCATAGTGTCTGAAAATTCTTCCAAAGCAGCAGTTTCATTATTATTTTTATTTTCGGCTGCATCAAGATTTGCTTCATGAAGACGATCTTGATGAGCTGCAAGAACGCCAATGTAAACAGTTTTTGCTGTAAAATATTGTTCATTTGTAAAGCATATTTTATAAGTACCTTACAACAAAAAAACAATGAAAACTAAATGATATTTTTTCGATTGATATTTTACCAGGAATTTTCGATTTTTCTACATCATACCAACCAAATGATTGTTTTGGGCTAAAAAATGTTATATTTCCGATAGGATCTTGTATTACTACTCGTATATTAGAATCGCCGCCTCTCAGTACTTGGTAGATTACATGAATTGTATCATGGAATTTTGTTTCAAGATAAAAACATTCATCTGCTGTATGTGGTATAATAATACGAAATGTATTCCAATGTTCTAAAAAAATGCTAGATAATTTCTTTTTTTTATCTATAATATTTAAAATAGTTTTACCTAAAGTTTGTAAAGTTGCTAGTGCACTTTCATCAACATATGCATATGTGTAAGAACTCAATATAAGTAATAAGAATAGTATCACCATATTTCAATCTTCTTTTTTTTTCATAAAGAATAGTTTTATTTTATTTTATTCGTCATTGCTTATGAGAATATGACCATATGTAAGCAATATATTGATAAGAAATATTGCAGTGGTTTGATATAGTACTTAAATCGAATAGTATACTATTTGATTTCAATTATTTTTTTAATTTTTGTATGAATTGAATTCTGTATCGAAATATTTATTTAAAATAAACAATATGGACTGAATCATCTGATTATCTTACGTCAAATTTTAGACCTTAGTTAGTAGTAATGTCATTTTTGTTAGATATTAGCTTAAATGATTTCACAAATAATTATAATTAATGAAATGTAGTATTTCGATAAAAATTAGTATCTTAGAAGTAGTTTGATGCACAATTTTTGTAAGACTATCTGATACGAATATATTTGACTGTGAATATCAATTTCGTATATGTTGCCGCAATGCATTAGAAGTCAAAAGGTCAATATTGTTGAATTTAGATAATTCGTGAACGTTTGTCTTGTGTATATGTAGTAAATATTTGATTATCACAGTTTTGCTTTGATCGTCATTGGAATAAATCATTTCGAGAATATTAATCAGAAGAATGACGGCATGGTATAAGAGCAGCACTGCAATCATTACAAGAGTTCGATGATACTATATCATCTATACAATTTGGTATAGCATTTTCTATTGCGAATAATTTTATTCTCTTGACACTTCCTGTAGAAGTTGCTGCTGATTTTGATAATGATTCTGCAATACATCCATGTAAGGAGTTACATTTGTTCTACTTTTTTAATGAATTTACCTGTTTGATCTATCTCTTGACGGTTTCTTTTTGCTAAATTTGGTACAACGATATTTTCTTTTTTACCATTTATACCTTCTATTTGTTTTTGAAGGATTGTGCAAGCTATCCACAGATCACAATCACTCTCAAAATCTTTATCTAAAAAATACAAATTTCAATCGAAAATTTTTATTTCTTTTTTATCATATTGATAATCGTGTTCTATCTTACGTTTTAATCGAAGTTGATCTTCCCAACATCGTTTCACAATAGATGCTTTGAAATTATCTTTCGACAAATTTATTGAAACAGGTAAATCAAGACGGTCAGCAACTAGACGTGATAATGTACTCTCATCTGGTGTCAAATAAAATACAAATATATAATATTATTTCGATGATACAATACAACAAAAACAAACAGACCTTGATGTATTCGTTTCGACTCTTGAATATTTTCATACAATTCACTATCACATAGTTGCTTAGCATATGCACAATGAGGAAACCAACGAGCATGTTCATTTGTTAGATTATCATTATTATTTGATGTTAATGATTGATTATTAGTTGACTGTTCATTGATGACTGGAATAGACGTTTGAGATCCAGTTAGTATACCAATGATATAAGAACATTTTGGTGAAAGAATCCTATGAATATGACTAGGATCATCACTATTTGGAATCCATTGTTGACAGATAAGGTTACAATAGATACAAATAACACGATCAGCAACATTACAACTGAAGAAGCCAGCATCAGTCATTTGTGATATGAAAGATGGCGATGCTCGATGTGGATAATGTGAGAATGTTCTTTTTCTTGCTTGTTTGAGAATGTCTACTTCTTGAAATATGATAGATTGAGTATTCGTGTGATTATTATCAGTTTTAGATGATTGCTGTTGGTCAAAAGATATCAACAATATCAATGAAGAATTATTGCATATATAAGGAATATATTTATAAGAAGATGTCATTGAGAGAACAAACGGACATGATGGACTTCGTTGTGAATGAATGGTGAATGGTTTCATATCCGATGTCCACCCAGAGACTTCAAGCTTGCACTCATAACAATGAACTCTGTCTGTGTTGTCTATATACTTGAATCCAGCAGCTTTCATTTGAACCGATGAATATATTCCTGGTTTTTTTGTCAAACCTTGGCACACTCTTGAAATTTTTTCATAAACGTGACCCACGTCTATCTTGGATTTTTTCTCACAATGACCTCTGTTCATAACTTTATCTTGATCAAAGATGTAAGGTTTTGCTGTACGCGAAAGTGACATCCTATATATTTTATAAATATACACAAGAAGAAAGTGAGTAATATTTTAATAAAATATAGAAAAAAAGAATTTATAACATGGGCCGAAATAAATCATTTATGTAATCAATTCGGTTTTGGTTTATGACTTTATCATCAGAAGAGATTAATTGATTTTATAAAGTTTATTTTAATTATTTTTTAGCAAGAAATGCATGATTTATTCATCTGATTTGTTTTTGAAATGAAATAGAATATTTCAAAATAGTGTATTATTCCAGTACGAAAACAAAACAATTTGTGATCATTTATGATAATAATTGACTCTTCATTTTTTATTATACATAAGACTACTTCCAACAACTCACCTTATGATAATATATATTGATTATCAACAAGTTAAGATTGTTTCTGCATTCTCGAGATGAACACACAAGTATTTTTGGATTTTTCATACATACAAAATAAATAAATAATTTGCTGGACTATTTATCCTTGAAAAAATCCTACACGTCATTTGAAAAATCCTTGTGTAAAATTCCTAGCCGTCATTTTGAAAAATCCCTTGGTTAAAGTCGATGAGTCATTGGAAATAATTTTTATGTGTTCTGTTTGGTGCACTCGGGAAAAAACCAAGTAAAACACATTTTGTTTGTGAAATATAACCCAAATAACGCGTCGAAGAGAAAGCAAAAAAAGACCGACATTGTCTGAATAACGTAAGCGTTTGGAATATGTTGAAGGTTAAATAACATGTAAGTATCAAGATATTTTGATGTATTGTCTTGAATATTTTATTTTTCTAGTCTAATCGTTCAGTATGGCTCATTAATATTTTTGCTATCATATATGCTTGATTTCGAGTTTAAACAAAAATTTTCTTCGAGACGAAGATGTCGCATATAAACATTTGAAATATATATTATCTTTATTGTAGTTCGATTGAAAAGAAAGAGTAATGATAATTATCTACAGTTTCTTTTCAAAAACAATGAAACGTATTGATATTTAACTGATTTGATATATCTATATATTGTGTATTAACAAAAAGGAATCGGAGTTATATTGAAAATTTCCAACTTTGACATAATAGTGTATTCAAAAAGAATAATGCAAGTATTAGCTTATCGCTTCTATCAATACAGAATGAGAAATAAATAAATATTTATTCAATTTATATATCAGATTAAAAACAATTCAATTATAGATAATACAACATACAATATAATATTTGGAAGTAGTATATACAATTACGATATCAGATCTATATGATCGATGGATCAATATATATTTAATGTAGATGATTATAAGTTTTGATTCTAGGTCATTATTGTAGTAATTCGCTCACATATAAACTCGATATGGGTAGAAGCTGAGTGTAACGAATAAATTGAATAAGATGGTTATGTATCGGACAAATTTTCTAGATCACAGATAAAAACTAGTGGACCAATTGGTCCAATCTGACCTAGATAGGTCAGTATCGATCGTCAAAATTAAGATTAATTTTATTTTTGTGTAGAACCGTAGGTTCAATGTCTATTGTAGAACAACAAGAACAAGAAGAAGAGAAGAGAACGGGATGAATACGATACATATATGTATGTGTGCGTGTACATATATATATATAGGATCACGATAAGGAATGATCCTATATTTAGATGAGAGAAAAGAAAAGAACCACATGTATATATGATAGAAGAATACAGGGAATGTTCCAACATGATCAGAGGGAATATAACAATATGTATATCACTAAATATATTGGATATTTTCTACAAGTTATTCTCAAACAGAAATTCTTCTCGACGTATAATGTGTCATAAGTATTTTTATAAAATTTCTTATTAAGAAGATAGGAATAATATCTATTCCATCAAGTATGTTCTCATTCATTTATTTTTCTAAATATATCGATTAAAATAAGAAATATAAAGTTATTTCTTGTCTATAAACATATTCCCATGTCTGAAGAATTCAAAATAACATCTATAAATATATAAATCCAAGAATATCCCACATATGTTTGACTAAAAATAGTTTTTATTATTTTTTTGTATGTCTATTATACAAAATTTATTCATGTAAACTTCGTTTTACATATAGATTCTTTTGATAAATTTCCCATTATGTCTGGTTGTGGATGTTGGTATTCTCATGGTTTTATACCCACACAACATATACTTTTTTTCGTCTAAATTTTATTATTCAGGAAGTGATATAATGTTTTTTCAAATGTTTCTCATTAAAATATCCGATAAGATATAAAAAATGAATCAGTGAAAATATTATTTATGAGTCGTATTCATAACATGGAAGTAAAAAAACACAACCCATATGATTTCATTTTAATGGTAACATAAAAGCATATAATTGCTTCGGCGAAATGATCGAAAACATAATAATTAAAATAAATATTGACACCACTTTCTTTGTTGGAAATTTCCAACATGTGTTGTTTTTAGACTATGCAAATTAATGAAGCACACAAATATGCATATTTATTTTGAGTTATTGCTTGACGAAAATATTTTTCTTATAAAGTGCCTGTTAGAGTTTCATCATTCGTGTTTTGAGTCAAACTAATTCGTAGAACTAGAATAAATTATTTTTTAAAATATTAACATTTCTGACGACTTTTTATCAGTAGAAAATCAGCAAATAATAATGAGCATTAGTTTTTTTAAGGCACTTAACAAATTGAATAATATAGAAAAATTTTACAGACAGAGATTCTTTGCATGTTTTTGAAGGAGAGAAAAATGTTTTTGTAAAGATTCTGTTGATGAATTCCAGTCACCATCAAAAGGATATTTTATGGTTTCTAATAATATTTTCGGTGGATTTTTTTATGTCTGTTTAACAGACTTTCACTAACGAAAAATTATGTGCTGCATGAATCTTAATAGCGTCATCAAGTGACATTGCAAAAATTAATACCTAGTCAGAGCTTGAAAAAATATTTGACAAATAAAGCAAATAACAAGATTCGTCATAACTGTTTTCGTGTTGTTACGAAGGTAGCTTACCGAAAACATGCTTTTTGCTTTTATCTGCGCAAACAAAAGTGTTGATGTTGACTACACTTGAAAAGGAAAGAAAGCGATAGTCATACGACTCTAACATATGCTTGAATAAAATATCAGGATCTTTTTAATATACAAAACGGTTACTGTTTCATTATCATGCTTTCAAAAGTAATTATATAATTGTCATATTTGTTTTTCGAGTTATTTTTATTTACATAGACATTAGTAATTTCTATTTACAGTTCCGTTTGATTCAATCTTTTCGGAGAATAAGAACAAAATTTAGGAAGTGACGATTTTTTTTCTTAATCATGTTGGAAAAAAAACATGGTTTTATTGAGTTTCCGATTTAGTTATCTTATTCAATATTTGAATTATGATAAACTAAAAGATATGCTTTCTGTGATTCAACAAAACATGACTATATTCACTTCTTCCTAGTTTAAATTTATGATAATATACAAATGGATATGATATATTGCTTAGTCATATATTAATAATCCATGATTAAATTTTACATAAACTAGAAAACAAATAATAATCAGTATTTGTTGAACTCGGAGTGTAGTTTTGAGATAAAAAAGAATTGTGAACACAAAGAATTAATCATAAATATTAGAATCAATTAAACAAGTTTTCGAAGATTTTCAGAAGTGTCAGTAGTTCTCAATCCTTCTGATGATTGCTCTTCGCGCATCTAACTATTCATACTTAGTCTGTGAAGTTTTATTCCTAAAGAATTTTTAAACTTAATCCACTTATTATTTACATTAAATTTCAGAGAAATATAGAATATGTCACCATGTCATACAGAAGTAATTCAGTTTTTAAACTGGAATTTTTCCTGGGAGAAAACAGTCTTTTTATTGATTCAGATATTAAAATTTTGTGAGAAGTTGTTTTTCTTTCCCTTTTGCGATAACGTTACCCGTTCGTTCTGCGTGTGTTAATAATGTATTTCTTATCTTGAGAGAACGAGTGAAAATGAGAGCATGATTTTTTTTTCTTCCGTTCTGTCATTATTCACTGATAATGTAAGTTGGTTTTTTCCCGAGTTAGGTTACGTGAATATATGGTGTATATATACGCTTGGTAAAAGCCAAATATGTATTGAAAATGAGACATCTTCCGTTTAATAAAAGTACATTGAGAGAAGTTGGAATTCCCCATTGTTTTATTAGATTTAACTATGCCTATATATATAGACAGATTTCAGTCAATGTTGTACAATCACCCACTAGCATTTAATGTAAGTATCGAAAATATTTTTATGAAAAGAGTTTTAAATGATTAAGGAAAGACAGTCCCATGCCATAGAAAATATATTCGAGAAGCTCAGGAGTAGCTTGCGCGAGTCCAGTGAACATTCGCCAATCAGCAAAAATCCGGTTTGCATTGGCGAAAGTTCAGTGTCCAGCATACAATTGTATAAGTTCGGGTGTGGATGAGTGTCGACTAAGAGAAGATACTCACCAACATCCAAACTATATTATTGTAAAAGAATAAAAAAATTTTAGTCAACTTATTGATCGTACTTATATATCTATATGTTTATTTTATATTCTAGAATTTGATTATAGAACTATTATTACCTATAATGAGTGACAGTTCGTATGGCGTGTATAACGAATTGAAAAAGAATTCTGATGCAAAACTATATTTATTCAGAGACCAATTTTCAGCGAAAAATACATTATCATCGCCAATTATACAGAGTACCTTATCATTGTGTTTAGAACTGATCAAACAAAAAGCTTTAGGTGCTGCTACTACGTTGAAGAATGCTGGTTTCGGATTTACAGACAGCTCAAACACTGGCATACGTTGTGATGACTGTGGCCTGGAATTACCGGACTGTAAAACAAACACAGATCTACTTACTTTTCATAAAACCGCAAGACCAGACTGTTTATTCGTTCGTAATAAACAATCAACCAAAATATCAACATCACCTTCCTCTTTCTTACCAATCGCTGTTGTTAGAAATACTTCGATAGAAAATGATCTGGAAAGTCCATTAAAACGACAGAAGATCGAAGCTAGCAAGGAGAACATTAATTTTAGTCGCCTATTCGAACCCACTATAGTTCAACAAATACGTAGACGAACCTTTTCACATTGGCCTCATCGTGCTAGTCCATCTCAAGCACAAATGATTGAAGCAGGATTTTTTAATTGTAACGTTGGCGATCGGGTAATATGCATCTATTGTAATCTGATTTGTCAACAATGGTCGCCGAATAACGACGATCCATGTGAAGTTCATAAAACTCTTCGTCCAAACTGTATATATGTTAAAGCCAAATTAATCCGCCATGAGCCAGGATCAATATTAATTGTCAATGATAGTGTAACGGGAGCTTCTCCAAACAATCAATCCATTCCATCGAACAGCGTAGATCAATTTCGATGTAACGAATTTGTTCATACGGCTGCTTGTCATACTGCATATACAGAATTATATAAACGAACAGCGTCTTTTGCTACATGGCCTACAGATAATTTACCGTCCGTTGATGATCTTGTGCGAGCTGGATTCTTTTTTAGTGGTACTAAAACTATTGTAACATGTTTTTATTGTAATGGATCATTACAAAATTGGGGAGCAAATGATAATCCAACGATAGAGCATGCTCGATGGTTTCCACAGTGTGCATATGCTAAACAGTTATGTGGTGATGACCTTTATAGAAAAATTCAAGAATCTAAACGAGCCCAACAAGGTTTGTTTTCTTATTTATGAGTTTCATGAAAACTTGATAATAATAATAATATTTATTATTCAGAACGTGCTAGAGTTAATCAATCAAGAGAAGCAGTAGGTTCAAGTGCCTCGACCAATAGTACTACAGCATCAAATAGTAGACAATTATTAATACCTGATGAGAGTACATTATCACGTCTTGTTGCTGCTCGATTGGATTTACCAATTTCGCAAAGTTTATTAAAAGAATTCAAACTATCAATTATAAAACGTTGTTGGGAAGATCAACTTCGACTTAAACGTAAGTTATAAATATTTCCGATAATCTGAATTCATTCGATTATATATTAAAATCATTTGTTTGTTTAGGCGATGATTTTGTAACTGATTCTGATTTACGTATGGCTTGTAAAATTCTTCAGAAACAAATCGAACACATTGACGGTAAAAAAGAAAATATTGTTATACCAAGTGTACAAATGAAAAAAATTCAAGAAGATGCTGAAAAACAAAGAGCTGGTATGTTTATTATTTAATTAAAAATACATTTTTGTAACAATTTCTTGTTATCGTATTATAGAAGCTCTTGCCCGCGAACAAATTACTATGATACCAACTGTACCTCTTACTACTCCATTGACATCTAATAATTCACCTCAAACCGTAGATGTTGAAATGACAACATCATCACAGTCAGCAACAAATGACTTAATAACACAGGAAATAACGATTAGAGATCAGAAAGAAGCAGATATAATAAAACCCACTATTTCTGATACAAACCAGCAAAATCAAACAAAAGAGTCACCAATAGCCAATCCATGTGTCTTATGTTTGTCAGAAGAAAAACGACTTGCTTGCATACCATGTGGGCACTTAGCTACATGCGTTCCATGCGGGCATTCATTGCGATCTTGTCCTATTTGTCGTCGGGAAATTGAAGCATTCGTTCGAATTTATATTTAACCTTTTTCGGCCGGATGTTGCCAAATGGCAACATTTTGCCGTAGAAAAAGATGAAGAACAAATCATCGAAAACTGGTCTTCATGGTTTTCGTATGCGATCGGTTGTCTAATGACGGCTCGATTCGTGCACATTTACAGTAATAACTAACGAAAATGAATTGCCTTCATCATTAGTGGTATTTAACATCAAGTCTACGGTCAGATAAATGATACATTTATTGCAATGAATAAAGTTAGTTTGTTGGTTGGTAGTAATAAGATGATAATCTCCTGTATTATATATTTATGATATTGAATGTTAGTCTTTTATTTTGGTGAATGTTAATGTCAATTCAAGTGAAAAAAGATGCATATGAGAATTATCGAAGAACGTATTTTCTCTTTATCGTCAAATGCAGATTATAGTGACAATATTTTTAAACAATTTATGGATTATTACTTATGTGTCGAATGGGTATAACATTAATATAAAACAGAAGAAAGACATTCCAGTAAAAAGCTTAGATACTTGTTTAGAATAGTTTTTGCTTGTAGTAAAGTTTATTATACAAAATATATATGGATAGTGTGAAAAGAAATAAAAATAACCTTTTACCGTATTCTCTACTTTTATATATGTACTTCAGTCAACGTCAAATGTGTCATGTCACAATGAACAAGCAAAACGTATGAAAAAAATAATTTTTCATCTGATAATATATTTGATGAGCTTGGAAGAATGATAGTTAAATGAAAAGAGTGTTGGTGTGGGTGCGAATATGAATATGAATTTTCCACTCACCAATACTTACACCCCGACTTACACTGTGTTTGTCCAGATTTTAAATTATCAAAATCAATCATATTTGAAAAAGAATAAATGATTTCAAATAAGATTATTTCGCACTTAGAGAAAAAGAAAATAATTAGATCAAAACGGAGCAAGTGTATGATAAACAAACGGACAATAGATCATTAATCAAGTGAATGAGAAAAAAAATTAAGCAGAACAAATAAAAAATTATGTTTTTGATAATCTAATACGTACTGTTCGAACAAAGTGATTGATGTTTACTTTTTTCAAAAATATTATTTCATATTGGTACACTTCCGAATACAATCAATATTTATTCTATGCTGAACAAATTTTAACATTACTGTCGGTTTGAAAAACTTTTTTTTATAGATATATCGACAGGAGATTCTTCCATCCACTTGAGAAGAAAATTCATAAAATATTTTTTTGGCCAAGAATGCGAGACAAATAAAGGTGCTTCTAAAAACTTTCAAGCGATGAATTTCGTTTTCTGTCGGACCGGCCAATCTTGTAAACTGGTCCGGCACCAGTTCTGATAAAAATCGATCCAATCACATATATATATATATATATATATATGTCTAATGAAAGATAACTTATACTATGGTGGGGTGTCGGTGCTAGGGAGCTGCGGAGTACTTCGAAACCCGATTCTGACTCCGACGGAGTCGGGTTTTGGGGTCATAAAATTTTACTCTAGAAGTTGCTTTTTTGTTAACAAAATAACGGAGTTATTTGGAGTTTTTCGGAGTCGGAGTGAAAAAAACAAAAATTCTCGGAGTCGGAGTCGTGGGAACGAAATTTTTCGGAGTCGGAGCCAAAAAACGTTGACTCCGCAGGTCCCTAGTGGATGTGGGTGGCGGTGAGTATCTTCTCCTAGTCGACACCGAAACATCCACCAACATCCACGTATATCCACATCCATACCCAATTCTTAAAATATCTCTTTTGGCAGTACACCCGAGTAAAGTGAAGGTGCTTCTAAAAACTTCCAACCGATGAATTTCGTTTTCTGTCGGACCGGTCAATCCTGATCCTGAGAGTGGGGTGGATATGGGTGTCGGCGAGTATCTACTCTTAGTCGACAGCCAGACATTCACTCATGCCCACATCCACCCCCAACCATATCCACATATACACTCAGTTCTTAAAATATCTTTTTTTACCGAACATGCGAGAAAAATGAAGGTGCTCCTAGAAAATTCCAACCGATGAATTTCCTTTTTTTTCCGGGCCGGTCAATCTTCTAAACTGGCTCGATCGGACTGGACTGGCTCCAGCCCTGAGAAAAACCGAGGGTGTGGGAGTGGGTTAGAGTCCGACGGGTTTAAGCTTTTTTATCGTAATATGTAAGAATATAACCCGTCCCGATCCCGCCTAATCCCGATTGTTTATATGTTTACTGAAAACAGTTTTCGAACACATAAGTTTCGTTCGGCAGCATTTTAAATAACTTCATGTATGTAATGATTTGTCGACAAAGAGCTGATATCTAAGAGCATACTTCAGTCTTCCAAGTTCTATTAGTTAGAAGATGTAGTATATTGAGGGTGTGGGTATGAGAAGATAGAATCACCCATACCTACACCCACACTCTCAAATTACATTGAACTTCGGAATAAATAAAAAGAAATATCTTAGTATGAATCAATTATATACATCAGATTAAGGTGAATCCTGAGACAGGACTTCCGTCCGATTCCTGCTGCAATGGGATTGGGCTCCCGGTCCCGATCCTGACAGGACTGGGAACGGGGTCGGAAGAATCCTCGTCGGATCCTAGTGTAGTTGCCGACTAAGAGAAAATACCCACCCACACCCACCCTCAATTATTCAGGGTGTGGATGATGCGGTACGGTCGCAAATAAGCGAAAGGCTTCTCAGCAAAAATTCTAAGTGAAAAAAAAGAGCGAAAGACAATTCAGCGAAATGATTTTTCTTGATGAAAGTATAGATGAAAAATGTTTCGCAGTTGTGACTTTCGCTGAAAAGTCGTTCGCTTAAATGATTTTCGCTCAACAGACACCATATTCTTCAGAGTCACTGTTGTCATGATTATTCAGAGAATGCATACGTGAAGAGGGAAAAATGGAAGGCAGCGATATAAGTTTTAAAAAAGATGAAGAAAATAATATGTGATACATTTATCTTAAAAAAATATACCTGTATGAATCCTTATCAGTTTAGATACAATTATGATATACATGAGTAACGATATTATTAATATTAGTCGTTTCATGCAATACTTTTATTTTGAGGTAGTCTTTTCAAATATTTTTATTATATATATATGTAACCAAAACAAACAACATGTGCGTCGTTCTTATTTTTCTTCCTTCGTCGCCGTTAATAAAAATATTTGCACTGTGATTTCACTCTTATTCAGGTTGGTTTTTTCCAACATACAACATACCCTTCGACTATAGTCACAAACATTCATCGCTGAAATTTTTTTTAATGGCCCACGACACACAGATTACATGTATATTTAATTTCACTATTATTCATGATGGTTTTTTCCAACTAAAGATACTTTTACAGTATAGATAAAACACTCATCGTCGAAACTTGTCTTTAATGATCCATGGTAAACAGATTACATATATATATGGTATTTAAAGTAAGATACACTTTTAAAACTTGAGGGTGCGTGGGTGTGAGTTTCAGTCTAGGTAAAAAAGAGACACTCACACCCGCCGGGTCAGCTCCATCTTTGTGCTGATCTTTATCCATTTACATCAACTCATAATTAGAGACTTATCAAAGATTTTATAAAGAATCACTTATAAAACAACTGAAAAATTTTTACTATTTATTCATACCTTCAAAAACTATCATTAGTTTTACATTCATTGAGAGCCTGTATAGAGGATATTATTTTTTGAAAAATCAAACCTTTTTTTTTAAATATTGACATTCGCAATCAATGTGAATATCTACTGATGAGTAAAAATGTTCATTCATTAATCTGTTCAGAAACATAATAGGCTGATGCAAAGTGCTCACTTTAAATATATACCTACATTTTTATTTACCTCTCAATACGGCAGCTGTTAATTTTCGAAAAAATAATCGGTATTGAATAGTTACCATTTTTCTTCACGTTACAAATACTCTATTATTTTAGTGAATTATGTATAATTTTTATATTAGCAAATCCACTGGATACTGCCAGTTTTTATTATAGTGTGCACCTTGTATCTTTAAATTTTAGATTAATTTCATAAACAATCACTAAAACTAACATTCAAAGTAATAAGCATTATATGAATCCATCAATCGATCAACACAATATCCTGACACAAAACTCTCCTGTTACATTATACACTGAGAAGAAATCTGATATTCGTCAGCTCTGCAAAAGAATCCTTGAAAAATGCTCTCCAATTGCAGAAAGGTGTCGAAATCTAAAGAGAAACGATGATATTTATTCCACTATCCAGATGGAATCTGCTGGATTCAAGTATATAGACAACACAGACAGAGTTCATTGTTATGAGTGCAAGCTTGAGGTCACTGGGTGGACATCGGATATGGAGCCATTCACCATTCATTCACAACGAAGTCCATCATGTTCATTTGTTCTCTCAATGATATCTTCTCATAAACACATTCCATTTACAACCAGTAATCCTTCGTCGATATTATCAATATCTTCTAATCAACAACAATCACCTCAAACTGACAATAATCACACGAATAATCAATCTATCATATTTCAAGAAGTAGATATTCTCAAACAAGCAAGAAAAAGAACATTTTCACATTATCCACATCGAGCGTCACCATCTTTCATATCACAAATGACTGATGCTGGTTTCTTCAGTTGTAATGTTGCTGATCGAGTCATCTGTATCTATTGTAACCTTATCTGTCAACAATGGATCCCAACTAGTGATGATCCTAGTCATATTCATAAAATTCTTTCACCAAAATGTCCTTATGTCATTGGTATGTTAACTCGACCTCAAACATCATCTATTCTAGTCATCAATGAACAGTCAACTTATAATCAATCATTAACATCAAATAATAATGATGCATTTCGTCATGATGCAGTTGTTTGTACAGCCGCTTCGAATCCTTCTTATATCGAAATACCAAAACGATATGCATCTTTTGCTACATGGTCAAATGATAATTCACCATCAGTCGATGATCTAGTCAAAAGTGGTTTCTTCTATACTGGTACTAAAACAATTGTAACATGTTTTTATTGTAATGGATCATTACAAAACTGGGGTCCAAATGATAATCCAACAAATGAACATGCTCGTTGGTTTCCTCATTGTGCATATGCTAAGCAACTATGTGGTAGTAAATTGTATGAAAACATTCAAGAATCGAAACGAATACTTCAAGGTTTGTTTTTTTTATTGTTGTATCATATGATAGAAATAATATTATATGTTTGTATTTAATTTAGAAAAAACTACTGTAAATAGTTCAAGTAATGGATCTGTAGAGAAGAATAATCCTTCGATTGGTAATCAGTTATCAATACCAGACGAGAGTACTTTATCACGTTTAGTTGCTGCTCGTCTTGATTTACCTATTTCTATAAGTCTATTGAAAGGTAATTTCAAAGCATCTATTGTGAAACGATGTTGGGAAGATCAACTTCGATTAAAACGTAAGATAGAACAAAATTATCAATATAAAAAAAATTAAAAATTGTGAATTGAATTTGTAATTTTAGGTGATGATTTTGTGAGTGATTATGATCTGTGGATAGCTTGTACAATTCTTCAAAAACAAATAGAAGGTATAAATGGTAAAAAAGAAAATATCATTGTACCAAGTGTAACAATGAGAAAACTTCGAGAAAAAGAAGAAGCAGGTAATTTGTGAATATATTAGATTATATATGAATATTTATATAAATACTTTATTAGAAGCTCAAGCTCAAAAAGAATTGATGTCAAGTTCATCATTAGAAAAGTCATCTAGTCCGAAAGATATTGATATGGCAACGCCATTATTAAAACGGAACAAAGATGATACTAAAACACCCGTGTTGAATTTTACGGCTAATACAAACAGTATGAAACCAACTTCAACAGCGGCTTCAGAAGAAAAATCTAATGACACTACATCACCATCTAATCCTTGTGTACTCTGTTTAACGGAAGAAAAGCAGCTGGCTTGCTTACCATGTGGGCATTTGATCGCGTGTGTTCCCTGTGCACATTCACTTAGATCATGCCCAATATGTCGTAGTCGAATAGATGCTTTTATGCGTATATATACTTGAATCATGAAAGCTCTATTCGACGCAGTTTTATGAGAGTATTGTTGGTTTATTTTTTTGAAAAGAATTTGAGTAATTATATAGAGACTCTTTTATGAAAACAATAGAATTTTGAGGATGTAGGTATGAGTGCGGCTTAGAATATGTTTCTTTGTGAATCATTCTTAATCGAAGCTCATTCCATACCGACAATGTTACATACCACCACATCCAATTATCTTCAAGTGTGCACTTATCAAATAGCATTTTGACGAAGCAGCATGATCAAATCGCTTCATAGTTAAATTGAAGAAATACACTACAGAATTCACATCTTTTAGTAATTACACATGAATGTATATATTCAAGCTAATTTACTTTGAAATTTTAATAACAATAAAACTTCTTTCTCATACTTCATCTTGTTTTCAATCAGAAATAGTTATTTATCAAAGACATTCTTGGTCGTTACCTATAAAGAACATATTTATACATAGCTGCTAAATATATTTAAAGAAATTTATATATTGATCTCATCGTATGCATCTGTTTGTCTTTAAGATTAATTATGAAGTAAAATTTCACAAGACGATTATATTTTGTTTTTTTTTAAACTATTACTGTCAAATATTTGTTCTAAAACTTCAAATTTAAAAATAAACATTAAACACAATTGAACTTAAACACAATATATCATTTTGTATTCTTCTAGATAGTATTATGTCACTGAGAAAAATGGTATATATACAATAAAAAATTGTGAATCAATGGTAGAAAAGACAGGAAAAAAAAGAGAGGAGAAAGAGAGAGAGAGAGCAAGTAGTATAAGAATAGCACCGACATATGTTTCTGTTCAAAGAAAAAGATATGAAATAAAACAGTTAAATTAATGTTATATTAGTTATATCGATAGTAGTATTAGTAAATGGTGATATAGTTGGTGCAACCCAAAGTTTTGGTAGACCGGGTGTCTTTGGAAACATAATAACAAGAGAAAGAACAAGCCAAAAACAATAAGCCAGAAAAAATGTTCGATCAAGTACAAGTGCAACTTGTTTCCATTCATCAGCTGTTTTACTTGATCGAGCATTATCTTCGACTTTTTTTGTCATATGTCTTAAATAATCTCGAATTTCTTTTAAATCATTTTCAATTGAACGTAAATTAACACTTAATGCTGCGATAGTTTCATTTGTCATACCACTACTACCAGGCGAATTATGTTTCTGTTGTTGTTGCTGTTGTTGTCGATGAAATTCTTGAAAACGTTGTTTAAGTAATTTTAATTTTTTCGAAAATTCTTCTTCATGATAATGTGGTGTTAAAAATATTTGCTCTGGTAATAGAAGAGCACCAGGTGATGGTGGACCATACCGAGATGAAATAGTACCAGGTGGATTAGGTGGTTTCTTAGGAGCCATACAATAAATTCGAGCAAGTGTTTGAAGAAAAAGACGACGTATGTATGGAGGAACACCTTGACGTCGATCACCTCGAATGTATATATGTATGACTATAGTAGCAAGAACAGCGGTGACAGAAACAACAACCATATTCATACAATAATAATAACCAATTTGAGGAGTACCACCACCACCTGAATTAAAAAGAAAAATCTATATTCAATAATTTAATATCGTCATAGAAAAAAAACAAGTTTGATTATCTCTATGGATTTTGGCAGTTTAATTATATTTTTATGCTTCGATTAATATGAATAATATTAATATGGATTATTTTATAAATTTCCTAGCCCTGAAGTAATTAATTTATAAGAATAGATTATGAAAAAAAGTGCTCTGAGACATATAAACGCGTTTATCTATTTTCTTTGTTCAAAAAAAATATCACCATAGTTGCAAAATATAACTATCTATTTTAAGCAATCCCTTTCATTGATTAAATAAAATAATACTATTACAAATCATATTAAATGTTTAATCTCTGATTAACTATATCCTTTGAGGAATATTCTTCGCTGAAATAATTTGTCCTTAAATCTTATTTCTTTTTCTTTTATTGTGAAAAAATAAGATTTTTAGCAATGATTTATCAGACAATAATAAAAGGATCGGCATGAAAAAAACTAATATAAGATTCCATTTTTACGAATCAGAAGAAAATCATCCGTCTATATAGCTAGAATAGTTACGAGCTATACATTTGAATTTGTAACTTAATATATCAAAGAATGATTTTTATTGTCTAAGAATATATTTTCAAGAATCTCAATTATGCTTATTTCTATCTTGACTTTTATATTCTAGACAATGTCATATGGGAAAGTCTGAAACTATATATTTCCCCATTGTATCAATTTTTTTTTAATATAAAAACAAATATACTGTCTCATAGAATAATCATCAACTATTTTTCTACACAATTAAAATACTAAAACGGTTTCTAGAATGAATATATCAGTTTGATAGGAACAAAAAAATCATCTTATATAAGCATTGAAAATTGTGTAATAAAACGATAATCTATCGAAGATTTAATTTATTCTTGTCAGCTAAAGTAATGTCAATCAGAAAATGTAATTTTCAATTATTTTATATTGCAATTCGATTAGTAAATAAATGTCATGGAATGTATTAAATTATTGTATTATTATATATTAACTGGAATATATATTTTCTTAGCATAGTTCATTAAGTGTGACTACATTGATTCTCAAAACGGAAAAATAAAATCTTCGGATATATAAATCAGACTTCTTCTAGGAAAATCTTTAGAGATCTAAAAGATAAGTGTGAATTTATTTATTAAAATCCCTTAGTGTATTTGATTAATTAAGTTAAAATAATGATTGTGTCTAATTCTTTTCCTTTCGGCTCATTAATCTCAGTTATTTACCTGGTATAGATTCAGCCAGCAGGAGCAATAAGAGAAAAAGACCGGAAAAAATTGATATCGTTAATATCATTTTTGCTGGTGATTCCGGTGGAATCCAAAAAACGACCATCGTAGCTGCAGATAAAAGTAAACAAGGTAATATCAAAATATAACCATAAAGACCACCTTTTCGTTGAATAATCATTGTAAATGTTAATAATGAAAATGTATCATTATTAACCGATTTTTTTGCATCAAGTGGCATTACTCGCCATTCATTTGAATTAACATATGCTGTCATATCTATACCTTCAAGATTATCTTTAAATACAAGTTCTAATTTTGATAGATCATATGTCCATGAACGATATGTTAATGGACATTCATGCATATCATAAGGGAAATTAGTTATATCAAGAAAACAAACACTAAATTGCATTGTTGCTGGTACATATAAGATATCACCTGTATGTTGTATAACAGCAGAAATTTCACGCCAATCTTTTAAACGTTCATCAGCGTAGTTATCTAAGACAACATCCTAAAAATAAAATGTCTATTCAAATAAATGTTAATCTATGAGAAAATAAATACCGGTGTCCAAATTTGTTCTGCTGGTAAACAGACAGTTTTTAATCCACCATATTCTTCAGGTTTCCAAATTAAATTCATATCTTGCCAACCGAATGTTTTCCATGTATTTGTTTGCATTTTTTGACCAGTTGAACCAAGATCAAATAATTGTGTCAGTGTTAAACCAAATGAAACAATTAATGATTCAGATACATTCCGTATTGGACGTGCATAGATTGTTGGATAATTCGCAAGTAAATCACGTATAAGACGTTTTTCATATGTTAATCGTTTTGTTTTTGTTCCATTTGTAAGGTTTGATGATGGTGATAGTGTTGTTGTTGTTATTGAAACATATGGCTGATATTTTGATTGTTGTTGATCTTCATCATTAACAGAATTAACACCCCAAGTATCTATGAAAAAAAAACGAAAATCTTCTTACAGATTATATTTTATTTTTTATCAAATAAATCTGATAAATATAAATCTTTTCATTGAATTTTTTTCTAATCATCTTATAGTAAGAAGAACGATACTTAATATTTGTTAAATATTAATATAGTCAATATTGATACAAGCAAAATGTAACACAAAAAAAAAATTAATGTTGTTTATGAAAATAACGCAAAACTATTTTTGTTTTTAAAAACAAGGCGTATGTGTAAGTGTGAAGTAATTATTCTTTTACCTCGAGAATTTTCTTGAAGAATTTTATTTGATGATTGATCTCGTTGTTGTTGTACTTGTGATGATTGTGAAAGAACAAGAGTAATGTTGAGCATTACAAAAAATAATGTTAAACTAACAAGATATAACGGAATGGTTAAATTGTAGGATTGTGCACGACATCGTTTTTGATAATATAATGAAGATTGATTATTATTATGAATTTTTGATGATAATGATGATGATTTAACATGTGCTAAATAGCAACAATAATGACACATGTTATACGAACTATCGTCTTTTTTTATTTCTTGTTATATTATTGAACCAAGTGTTTGTTTTTATCTGAATATATATATAAGAAGAGAGGAGAAGAAAAACTTAGAAAAAAATCTCATTAAATAATTTATAATAAGATGTAATCATCCAAAGTAATTGAAAAAGTGAAGGAAAATAGATTGTTCTTGTCTATTCGAATAATATCACCTAATCTAATGTAAGAACTCTTTACTTATTTTTATGTACATCAACAACAATAATCTAAAGACCAAGAGAAAGAGGTTTTGACATTCATACGATGACGGATTTGTGCCGACGGGCAAATTTGTTTTTCCATTTTCTCTTTACACTTTCTATCTATCTATCTATCTATCTCTTTTTCTTTCTTCATCTCCTTATATATACATCATATTCTAACTACCATTATTGATAGATGCAGTAGATATAAGAATACAGAGAACAACTATGAAGGGAATAACTCTTCAGTTATGTGTCTGATTAGACTTTGTTTCTATCACGCTTTCTTTATATAAATATTATACAATAGAGAAATCAGATGAAAGTAAATATTTATAAATCTACTAAATTAATTGAAATAAAAAAAACTATATAGATTGTATCTATAATGATGAAATTTAACAAGTTGATACAAATAAATGATCTCACCTTTATATGCATGGATAATAATGATAAAAGACTTTAATATTCTTCTTATATCTACAAGATTTTTCCACTTCATGTCAGTTATAAATGATCAAGAAGCATGTCAATATACGCATGACTTCAATCAGTTTTTTATCTTTCTTGATGAAAAAAAAGTCATTGTAAATAAAAGCTTTTTAATATTTAGAAACCGGCTCAAGGAGAAAAACGCACATACATACATGTATATATATAGATATATTTCTTTTAAAAGAAATGGGATGTAGGAAATGAATTACAAAAAAGTCATTATCTTACGTTTTCCTCCTCTTACCATGTCTATTCATCAAAAGTAGTATTATATTGTTTGATAAGAAGGCTAAAATAAGATACTCATATATCTTTTTCTATAGCCTATATATCTCTGTCTCTCTATATATACACATCTAGACATCTGAATAGATATGTTAACATACAGATTGATTATACTAAAAAACAAATCGATATAGAATGATATGTTTACAAAATTTATACATATATACATATCTCTATGAATATGATAAAGATAGTGCTTCACTAATGCTTACCTCATTCTAATCGATTATGTATGTGTAAAAAAAAAGAAGAAAAAAGACGCGGCCCATCATTATGTCAAAAGATGTTGAATGTGCGCACGCATGCACTTTCAGGGATCAATTATGAATGGTTTGTCATCACTATGCACGCATAAGCATAGACAAAGACTTAAACACATGCATGCATATATATATATATTGGGAGTATGCTAGCCAGATCTTTTCGGCTCTTATATCTTTTGAGTTATTGTAGGCGATAAAAAAAAATATAAATGCTTGTAGCAATGAGAACATCAACAACAATTCCTCTGAGATCTTTAGTCGACACATCGATCGATCCGACTAAAAAAACGAGTCAAGATATGGAGATAATGCGATAACAAGACTAGAAACACGATAGGTTTTACAATTGTCATAACAATACACTCAAAATAGACAAAAAAATAATAATTTTAAAAATTACTATGAAACCATCACTATAATAGATGATTGATGAATAAATTATTATTACCATATAGTTACCACCTGGCAATCTTCATAATAACAAAAATTGTAATCTATAGTCGTAGAAGCAGTAGTTATCGAAGTGTGCGCAATAGATTTCTCTTTTTCTGTGTCCTTCAAACAACAAAGACCAGCGAGCACAACACAAAAATCGGTCGCGTTTCCTTCTTGTATGTGCGTGTATGTGTGTTCTTTTTTTTTTCTTTTTTTTCCTGATGTTCGTCGTCTTCATCAGCATCATCTTCTTCTTCTTCGGCTTCGACTTCAGCTTCTTCTTCTCCTTCTTGTATTTCTTCTTCTTCTTCTCTATTCTATTCTATTGCCATGCTAGATCTTTGCGTTTCTTCTACCACTACCATCACTACCAATTCACTCAGTCATTCACTCAGTCATTCATTCAGTCGTTCATTCACTAGTGTGCATTCCTCTTCACATCAAGCTATCCACCAACGAACAGAAATAATAAATAAAATACTCTAACTTATTCTCCTTGTTCTTCTTCTCTTTTCTTTTCTCACATCTTGAGCATTTCATGTTCTGGTGTTCTCTCTCTCTCTCTATCTTTCCCTCCCACAGTCGTTCTTATTCTATTCTATATTGTAAAATTCGCGTAATAAGTCAGTTAGAAATTAAATTATTCTAACAAAAAAACTTCGGATAAACTAGAAAAAAAACACATATAGAAGAAAAAAAAAAGAAAGAAAACGATGTTCGACTGAATCGTTTAATAGCACTGACTTAAGAAGCATCGTTTTACGTTCACTGTATTATCAATAGGGTTGGGCACAAATGGAATGGTGGGAGTGGAGGAGTAAACCCACGCATGCGCACATAAATCAAATAAAAGATGTATGTCGACTTGTATTAAGTTAGCATTTATGATCAAGAAATTGAATGATTTTTCTTCTTCTTCTTATAAGATATTGTTATAAAAAAAAATTATCGATATGATATCAACATGTGTTATGAGAATAATCATTCTTATAACAAAATTTCTATGATAATTGGTACTGATAAATAAATAGATGTGATATAACAAATGCAAAAAGAATAATAAAATAACTATCGAATTGCTAATATTTTCTTTGATAAAATTATTGAAATATATTTTATAGCAATCAAGCAATGAATTCTAACGCAATTCTATACTTGTTTCGACCGATCGCACTTTACATTCGAGAATACTTGACAAATACATCATGATTCGATAACTATAGTAATTGAAAATAGTTCTCTTATCATTATCGTTCTTCTTCGTTTTGTATTTTACTACGATCCGTACTGAAGTGTCTCTATGCGTGTGTATGATGAAACAGCATCTAACGTCTAAGTATCAAACTCAATTTGTTGCACATGATGACGGCGGCAACGATAATATAGTCACTGATTAACAACATGCAATGATAGTAAAAACTATTTGACTATGAAACTGATGTAAAGAGAATATTATTTTCTACAGATGAAACAACAATTTATGACAAATGTAAATCAATCAGTCATACTATATTCTAATAGAATCTTTAAAGATAATATAGATTCAATCAACTAGTATTCAATATTTATTGAAGATCTCTAGAATTTGTTGAAAAAATAAATCATTGCAATTCACTAATGTATTATATTAGTCAATTGTGAAAAGATTTCAATTGAATATATAGAAAATAGTTCTTAAATACTGTAAATATTCTATTTTTTCATGACATATATAGATTTTATAAGACATGACATATCAGTAAAGAATACTCGATAAAACATTTTTTTCTAGGGTATAAGTGTTTCGTCTAAATTGATCATTTCGATAAACAATTACTTATTTTAAGTGAAACTCTTCCGATTCTAATTGTTATATATATGTATATATTTATAGATAAAACTTTAGGCTATCAACTATTACATTAGTTCCGAGTTGTGTAAGCAGTTTCATTAAGTAACATCAAGTTTCACCATTTATTTCTTTTCTATTTCATAAGTATTCTTAAAATGACATTAAAAGTGCTAGCCGACAAGAAAAAAAACCGTTTTTTTCTTCTTCTTTCAATGACTATATTAAAAAATCAAACTATTATAGATCTTTTTTATTAATCAAATGTTTGTCAAAAATATTTAGATGTTTATTTCCGTTGTATATAAATTCTTTTTAAGTATACATGTTTGATTACGGAACTATTGAAAAATTCCAATCGATTGCGACATCTTATATATATGTAGTATATATTGAGGGTGATTGCTAACGGATACTGCAGAATATAAAATATGGTATAATGTTTTCATGTTTTTTCTTGATTGAAGAATGATTTGAATCATCGAAAGAAAAAAAACAAAGTGTCAAAGAAAGAAAGTCTGATAAATGCCGACAGTTCGTGAGAATAGATCAAATCAAATGGAACGTTTAACCACGTGTCCTATATGTTTGGATAAATTTCGTATTCCAAAAGTTTTACCATGTATGCATACATTTTGTTTAACACCATGTCTAACAAATTTAGTGGATCCAAGAGCACGTTCATTTCGTTGTCCAGAATGTCGTCGAGAACATCAAATACCACCAGGTGGTGTTCAATCTTTTCCTTCGAATTTAACAATGATTGGATTTCTTGAACTTCCACCACCAACAGCAATTACTGATATACCTGATCGTTGTTTTATTTGTAAAGAACAAAAATCAAGTATAATAAATTAGGTATTAATATGTACTTTATCTATGATTAATTTCTTTTTAGCATTAATTAAATGTAATGATTGTTCGAAATTTCTTTGTACGAATTGTCGTGAACCTCATTTACGTGAAGCAATTAATAATATAAATTCTTCCGTCAGTCAACTTCGTCATACATTACCAAAATTAAATGATACATTAGCTTCGTATACAAAACGAGTTAATGGTGTTACAGCTAATCATAATCAAATTCGACGAGAAATAACACAAACGATAGCTACTTTAATTGAAGAATTAAAACATCGTGAAACAGCATTATTAACTGAAACTGAAGTGTATATGCAATCACAATTAAGGTACTGGAGACAATTCATTTTTATTTACAAAATCTTTTCTTTTTTTCCAGAACATTTCGTATTCAACAAGAAACTGCTGAAGTTGAATTAGCAAGTGTAGCAAGTTTTTGCGACTCAGTAACAGCATCAATTTCACAGTAAAAAAAACACAATAAAAGTTCGATGTTCTTTAATCTGTATATATCTTTTTAAGTGGACAATTAATGAACGATACAGATATAGCAAATATCCGATCACAAACTAATCTTTATTCACAACAAGTTGGTGCTTTACGAACACAAATGCCAAATGATATGCAGAAGGTGAGCAGAGGTAATAAATAAGATTATATATATAACGTGAAATGTATCTATCTATTATCATCCAAATTAATCAGCTGCGACTTGCATTTGATAATCAAGCATCTATTTCATCATCTATACAAAATTTTGGTCAATTTGTTGATCTATCTACAGAACAACATCATCAACAACAACAACAACCACGGTTTTCTTCAGCACCATATCCATCACCTTCAACACACTACACTGGAACATCAAGAAATTCAATGAATGCACAAGAACAATCAAGACAAAATCAATGTAAGTCAATAATTAAAGATAATAGATTTACTTATTCTCTTCTTATAGATTCCCGCCCTACACAAAATTCATTCAATGGAAATATGAATAATTCATGGGCAGATCATAGTTTAACAATACCTGCTCGAAATAATGCATCACCTTTTGGAACTTCAAGAAATTCACAAACGTTACCTCGTTCAAATCCATTTTCAAGTAATAATTCTCGATCTGCTCAACGAGCATCACTTCCAGCACCAGAACCATTACCACGGCGTAATTATGTTACAAGTACGAATGCAGCACGATCACTCGAAGGAGATGATCGACCAATCTTTGGTGGTCGTGGTAATGGTGGTGGTGGTGGTGGTGGTGGTGGTGGTGGTGGTGGTGGTGGTGGTGGTGGTGGAGCTGCTATTGCTAACAGAGGAAGAGCTCGATATGGTGCTTTAGTACCAATTCATGAACAAGTACCTTTAACAACTAATTTAGAACGACGCGGTACATTTATACTTGATGAACCTAGTTTACCAAATTTACCACAATCCGGTGCACAACGACCTCGTGATACAGTTGTTATTGAAGAGCTCTATAATGTTCGACGAAAAAATCGTGCTCGAACACCCGTTGCTTTTACTGTTAACCTCAATGAGGCACGATCATCAACTTCATAAATTATTCGCAATCATAATACATATAACAATAGAGCTTTTTTTTCTCTGCTTATTAACATTTATTTTTGCTTACCAGCTAGATAAATTCTATGCATTTTGGGTGAGTTGCTCACTGTCATATATAGATATTCTATCTTTTATTTTATAAAAAAATATAATAAAAAAAATAATTGGCTTTATTGGGATATAACTGCGAGTTTTTGTTTATAATTAATTAAATCTTGTGCTTGAATTTTATTTATCTAAAAATAATCATATTAATCAATATAATTTCGTAAAATCATCAGAATCTACATACAATATTTTCATATTCTTTGACTTTATTATTTAATTCAATAATACGTTGTTTTAATTTAATATGTGTATCACTATGTTGTAATAATTGTGTATCGTTTTGTTCGAGACGTTCATATGCATTTGATAATTTCATACGTAATTCTTGATTTTCAATTGTTATTACTTGAACAATTTCATTTTTTCGTTGAAGTATTTTTTCAATTTCATTTGTTAATTGTCGTGAATATGTACGTAATTTACTTAGTATCATATTTTGATGATGAACAAGATCTTCGAGATGAGATAATGATTGTTGTCGTTCAAGTTCAAGATTTTCAATCGTTGTACGATAATCTACTTCACATTTATTTAACATAATCATTACTGTATCAATATTTTCTTCACGTGACCGTTCTAAAGTTTGTTTAACACTTTTTAACATTGTATTCTAAAAATTATCGTAGGAATTTGATAAAAAAAGAAAAATATTTTTTGTACTTCTCGTGTTAAACGATTGATTTCTTCGGTTAAATCGAGACATTGTTTTTTCGAATCTAATAATTCACTTTCAATATCATTACAACGATTTTGTGTTGAACCAAGTTGATGACGAAGTTGAAGTAAATCCTAATCAAATATTATTTTTCTCTCTCTCCTTTTCATTAATGAATATCCTTACCTGATTACTTTGTAATAGGAATTTTTCAAAATCTGATCGGATCTGCATTGTATTTGTATTAGCTTGATCACGTTCACGCATTGCTTTTTGAATTTCGAATTTAACATTATCTGTTGTCTAAAAGAAATTCTTTAAATTAATATAAAATCGAATTAAAGATGACTAACTTGACTTAAATCCATTTCTTGTCGTTGAATACGTTCCTTCCATACATCTAAATCAGCAGCTAATGAAGTTTTCTCACGAGTTAATCGATCAATTATTAATTCATACTGTGTACATTTATCCTCAATTTTCTTCATCTATAATTGATGAAAAATATTTTTTTTTATATTTCCGAATTCATCATACTTTTTCAATATTATCTTTTAATTGTTGTTGACATATTATTTCAATACTTTGTGTTTCATTCGTTACTTTTTCATTTATTTCATTAATTAATAGTTTTAATCTTTTTTGGGTTTCAATAAGTTCATGTTGTATTTGATCACGTTCTACAACTGCCTGGATAAAAATATGAATACCTAGACAACAACAAAAAAAACTAATAATTTACTTCTGCTTTTTCAAATTGACATTGTTCAGTTATAACAAGAGTTTTTTGTAATTTAGCTAATGTTTCTTGTTCTTTTGCTTCAGTCTTTTCCAGTTTCATTTGAATCTGTTGTAATTGACGTTTATTAGCTTCATTTTCTCTATAAATAAATATCTATGCAATTAGTAAAATAGTACGTTTGATTTAATTTACGTAATCATATCAACAAATTTTTCATTATGTTCAATACTATATCGATCAAATGGAAGAAGAGCTCCACAATTGAGACAATTTGTTAGTTCATTTGGTGTATGCCAAAGATTTTGATACATATTTAATTGTTCTCTATTATTATAATAGACAATATATCTCAATGTATTTATTCAATTAAAGAATCATACTTCATTTCTTTCAATTCAACTTCTAGACTACGCATTTTTCTTGTATAAACATCAACTATTCGAGTCTGAAAAAATAATAAATGTAAGTACTTTATTTTTCATGAGTATACCTCTTTATCTGTTATTTGACTTCCATCATCCATATTAATTAAACGAAGCATGTCTGATACAAAGGTACTTCGAATTTCTTCATGTAATCGATTATTTTCTTCAACCAGAGCAACAATATTCGATCGAAGTTTAGCATGATCATTCTATTTTATTCAATAAGAATACAGTTGTTTTTGTAGTATATATACAATTACTTACACGTAATGCTTCATTTTCATCATTTAGTCGATGACTAATCTCATCAGCTGCTTGTAGAAGTATATAGAAATCATTGGAACTTGGTGTATCATTAGATAACTAATAGACATATAAATATGATAATGCTTTATTTATATATTAATTATTACTTTAGGTGAACTTAATTGACGAAAAGCTGGTGAAGGAGAATCAATGTGATCTAATTGTGTAAGAAGATCACGAAGTTTATCAGCCGCTGTCAATGATTTAACTAAATTATATAAGAAAAACTTTTAATAAATAAATAATTATTATAACGAACTAGAGCCAATAGATGCTGTATTTATTGAAGAAACAACAGAGATCATTGATAAATTCTATCAATGAATTTTTTGTTCTTCTGTCAAATTTTAAACTATAAAAAATAAAAGATTATATGTATATAGACATGACATATGTTATTTTGAATGTTACCGAGGTAATGATATAATGATACAGATTATATTGATGTTGTTTCTTTTGAGTTGTATTAATTACAAGGAGATAATATTTTAATAAAAGACTTCATAAATTATTAATGATAGAAAATAGAATGAAGATGTCGCTATAAGAAATTAAATACAAATAAATAGTTCTGTTATCTTGATTCTTTTGGGCGTTAACAAAAAATATATATATTTAATCTAGAATGTAAAAACATTCTTTCTATCTTTTTTTATTATTCCCATGAGCAAAACTTATAATTAATACTACGAGATAGAAAATGATAATAATAATATAATAAAGAAAAGAAAAAGAGGAAAGAGGAAAGAAAAAGACATTACATATAAAGCCTATTGTGTTCCCGTTGGAAAGTCTTTATCGATTAAACTCCAATCGATATAACTAGCAAGACTACTTTCACCTTTCGATAATTCACTTTCATCACGTGCTGTCATATCACCACCAGCACTACTTCGTGCACTAGCTCTTGTACCACCATATGTATTTGTATGCGCACCACTAAATCGTGGATGTTGAAGTAATTGAAGATCGGCACCATATGTATTTTCATTTGTTTCAGTGACACGAGTTAAACTATATGTAGTTTCATCCATATTATCATCATCATTATCGAGTTCATCAAGACTTCCTAATGGTGTAATTGTTCTACTTAATTTTCTATTTATTGATGTATCTTGATCATCAGCTAATAATTGTTTAACACGATCATCAACTTCCCAATCGGATAAACTGATCGAACTTGAAATAAGATATATTTAATTTAAAAAGACGTGATTTATATCAATGCTTACCTGGATGGTGCACTTGATGGTCGTTGTTCTAATTCTGGTTCTTGTTGTCTTTGTGGTTGTCGTTGTTTTTGAGGGTGAACTGGAACAGGTTGTTGTAATTCTTGCATACGTTCTGAATAAGTTTTTGTTACTCGTGGTTCTGTCTTTTCATAAGGTACATAAAGACCTGGTACACGTCTTGTACCATATAAACGCATGAGTGCTTTAGGATCAGATGGATCTGATTTTGTTGTTGGTTGTGTTTCAGTATAAGTGCTATTGAGAGCACGTACACGTTGATTATATGTTGTTGGTTTATGAGATGGTGGAGATGCTTTACGTATGTTTCGTACCAGCTTTGTATGAGTTTGATTATTTTTTGATGAAGCAGGGATTGAACCTCGTTTATGACCAAGATTAGCTGGAGATGATACTGGTCGTTTTCTTGCCATATTACTACGAGCTGGTGGTGGACCTTTTTGTTTTGCCTAAATAATTTATAAATTCATACTCAATAGAAACATGTATATATATATATCAGTTCAGACCTGAACAATAGCTTTGCCCATTGGTGTCATTGGTCGAGATCTAGTTGATGATGCTGATGATGGTCGTGGTAATTGTGAAGATGAAGTTGAATAATGACTTGCATTTTGATTATAATTCGATGTATTAGCTGACATTGGTCTTGATGGTAATCGTGCAGAATAACCACTACCTATATCATCATCATTGTCATTCAAATCAAGATCATATGTACGATTAATAAGTCCATCAGCACGTGCTAGTTCAACTACAGTTGATGTAAAACTTGATTCTAATGCTTCAAGTTGAAATTCATCTAAAGTGTGTGTTTGTGGTACAGATTCACCATGAAGAACAGCATCAGCAAAACGAAGAGCATTTTCATCACGTGCACGTGATAATATTTGTTGTTGTCGTTGACGAGCTTCACGATGACGATCAGCAATAGTGGGTGATGCAGCTTTACGTGGTGTACCGGCTGTTGAATGCGCTGATGTATGACTGACAGTTCTACGTGGTGAAAATGGATCACGAGGTGTCGTAGTTTTAATTGATATACGACGTTCACTAGAAACTTGTTTACGTGGTGAACGAGGTGTAGTTGAACGAACTGAAATAGGATCAACTATGCGTGAACTAGCATCAGAGGTTGGTTCTGTGGAACGAGGTTGACGTATAAGATATTCAAGAGGAAAATCCTGGAGATAGAACAAGTATAGAAAAATATTCAATTCAATTCACTTATATACATACATTTTCATCTGGTTCGTATGTTTGTATATTTGGTTCATATGAAACTCTTCTTTGAGAACGATCACCATTGCCATTACCAAATGCAAGCTGTTCTGCTTGTTTTTCTTCTTGTTCTCGTTGTCGTCGACGATGTAAAATAAGCTCACTTTTATGTTGTAAATCATCAGCATTATAAAAACCATTAGTTTGTTGAGAGGCTTGCATATTTTGTTGATCAAAACCTAATGGATAATACGGTTGTTGTTGTTGTTGTTGCTGTAACACTTGTGCGTGCTGTTGATCAAACCCTAATGGATAGTACGGTTGCTGTTGTTGAAATACTTGTTCATGTTGTCTATCAAAACCAATAGGATAGACTGCTGGTGGCATTTCATTTATATTATTATTCATAGGTATTTGCGGTGGTACTTGCTGGTATTGTTGCTGTTGTTGCTGCTGCTGCTGTAGTTGACGTAGTCGAAGTTGTTCTCGTTCAGCTTGATCTCGTTCAATTTGAGCAAGTAATGCATCAGCATGCGTACCAGCAATATCAGTGACATTAACAAATTTTCTTTCATCACCATCACCACCACGTCCATATTGTAAATCATATAAAACTTGATGAGCTGGTAAATCAGTCATAGTAGATCGTTCGCGTCGACGTGCTTCAAGTGCCTGTTGTTGAATTTGACGAGCTGCAGAATAATGAGCTTCAGCTGATGTAAAATTGACACCAGTAGCGTCACGTAATAACGACTAGAATCAATATAGATAAATCTTCGTCTGTTTTTTATTGAAAAGAAAATATAACTTACTTGAAAAAGACCTGGTTCAATAATAAAACCATCTTGTCGAGGTACTTCAGCTTGAATACCAGCATCAACCTTTGTATCTGATGATGTTGAAACAATATTAGGTGCCGGCATTGGTATTTGTAAATCATTGTTAGTATGTGTTCGAGGATGTGGACGCATTTGTAATAGTTGAAGACGAGGTCGATTATGATCAGTAAATTGATGCATTATATTTTGCACATAGGCTAACTTTTGTTGATCAGCTCGTGTTGCTTGTGGAGTAAGTGATACTGGTGGAGGTAGTTGTGGAGCTAAATGAAGCATTGGTATTGGATATGCAGGACGTGGTGCGGATGAAACATAAACGGGTCTTGTTGGATAAACAGTAACTGGTGGTGGTGGTTGTGGTGGCATTGGAAATCGAGATTGTGTAAACATAGGCGCAGAAGTCATTACTGGACCTCCAAGACGAAGAAGTGGTAAACGTAGCGACGAAGTATATTGAATAGGTGCAGGTACTCGAACTTGATCATACACTGGTTGTTGCTGAATTTGTGGAAATGGTTGTTGTTGTTGTTGTTGATGATGATGATATTGTTGTCGATCTCGAGAAGATGAACGGTGACTGTATGGATCTCGAGTTGGGGATCGACGACGATGAGACTCTCGAGTAGGTGATCGACGACTGTAAGGATCTCGAGTTGGAGATTGACGACTTGGTGGATCTTGAAGTGGTGGTGGATAATGACCATGAGGAGATTGTATTGAAGTTATTGTTCTGTTTGTATCTAGATGTTAAAACACATATATATTGACTTAAATCAGATTTAAAACTATATTACCTGGAATGATGTATTTATTTCTCTCTTCTTGTTCAAGTCTCGAAGCTAAATATGGGTCAGAATCATCAAGAAAACGTCGATCACTAAATGATTGTCGAACTGGCTGCTGTTGTTGTTGTTGTTGAAAACCATTCGATGTTGGTGGTGACATTTGTGGTAATGGACTTGCTTGTTGATGATATATTTGTTGTTGATTATTGAATTCTCTATATTCATTAGGAAAATCACGTAAATCATACGTAGGTGTTTCATCACCACCAGTTTCACGTGATAATGCACGAAAATCTCGACTACGACCAAAATCTCCATTACCACCATCATTACTAAATATTGGTAATGACATACTTTCATCTAATGAATTTTTTCGAAATGAAAGATCACGTCGACGAGGACTAGATGCTAATTCACTATGTGTACCAATACCATCTTCATCATCATTTTTTGTTACATCTGTTAAATCTGTATCATTATCTGCTTGATCATTATTATATCTATTTTGTTGTTCATGTTGTTTAACAATCATTTCATAACGTTGTTGATCACTAATTAATGAACTTGCCGCAAGAAATTGTGCTGAAGTTGATATACGCATACCAGCTGTTTGTGTTTGATCAGTAGTCGTTGAAAAACCACGATTAGCCCAACCTGCCATCCAAATACTACGACGAGCTGCATCAGAATAAGGTTCATCAAATTGTCGAACATGTGATCGTGATGGGTCATCTGAACGTCCATCCCATTCCATCGATGGATTTTCATTAGTATTTGATTCAACATTATTATTATTAGTATTAGCATTATCAAAATTATAAACATTACGTCGATGTTGTTTTTCAAGTGAAACAACACCTGGTGGTTGTTGTGTTAAAGGTGTTTGAACAAGACTTCCAATAGTCATATTATTTACATTTGTTGGTATTTGTTGAAACATCGTTTGTTGTGTATCATTTGGTAATATACGAACAGGAAAAACAACATATTCATGTGGTGGAACAAATAATGGTGTTTGTTTAAGTAAATATCGTTTATCAAGACTTGTTGGTAATTCTAATTCACGTAATTGAGCACTCATTGTTTGTACTAAAGGAATAGATGTACTATCATATTTCGTATGATCATTATTTAATTCTTGTTTTTTAATATTCGTTAACGATGATGTATCAAGAAGAAGTGGAATAAGCATTGTCATAAATTCACCATATTCAACACATGTTTCAAACCATTTTGGTTTAAAATCAAATATTGGTTCTTGATGATGATGTTGATCAGATCTAGAAGAAGAAAAAACAAGAATAGTAGACTCGTTTTCGTTAAATAAATAATCTTTCTCTTACATATCATTTAAATAATGTGTAATAATATCTCCTTGTACATCTTGAATAATAATTGTTTCTAAAAATTCTTCATATAATCGAATATATTGTGGATTAATTTGCATCCATTTAGCTTTTAATTTCTCAACAATTAATAGAATTTCAGCATTATTATCTGTATCATTATCTCCATATTGTCTTGAAATAATTAATGTTGCTAATGCTCTCATTAATTGTTCGGATGGTGTTAAATCAAAGAAAAGATTTAATACAATGCGTAATAAATTCATTTCATCCGATATTAAACAACGAAATGAAAGAAGTATTGTTGCATAACTTATTATTTGCCATGAAAGTTTATCAGATGTATCAATTAATTCTGTTTTATTACGTATATAATTACGTATAGTTAATGATAAACGATCACGTGTATCTAATAAAAATAATATAATACAAAAATCACGAAAATAAATAAGTATTCTATCAGGTATATTAGGTAATTTATGAAAACGTAATGATTTAAGTAGAATTTTTATTGAATGAAAACTATCATTCGATGTTGATGTTTGTTGTTTATTACGTCTATTATTATTTGTTACGGTTAAATAATCTAAATACCATTTAAGACATGATAATTGTATACGACTAGCTGATAATAATTGTATAAATATATGTATTGTTCGATAATAAATTAAACGTATATGTGTTTCATATTTACATGTTATATCATATTTCTCATCATCATATGTATTTAATATTGATGAATAAATCGGTGGACATGGTAAATAATATTTTGATGAAATAAATATTGGTATTAATGTAAATAAATAGATCATAATAGCATTTAGACGTTTTAGTAACATTTCAGTTAATGGTACTTGTAAAAGTGTTGAACAAAGAAGAAATTGTTCTAATGTTGAAGATAAATTTTTTATAAATGAAAGTATTTCATCTTGTTTATATGAACGTTTAAGTATGGATTTAAGATTATCGATTTGAAGATATTCACATAATTTTGTATAGAGTAATGCATCAACTGTAATCGTATTGAAAGGAGAATAGATTTGTGATGAACGATTTGTTGGTTTAGGTGAATCATATAGCCCATTATGAGGTGGTAAAACAGATGCTAAACATAATGCTGTTCGCCAATCACCAGCAAGTTTAGCAAAGAATCTAAATAAATAAGATGAATTAAGAATATAAATTCAAGAGGAAAACAGCGGACTTCAAGATTTTAAAGACTTCAAAGGACTTCCAGGACTTCATGAGACTACATGCATGAAGTCTCTGTTGTTTACCCCTTGTATAAATTATACTTACACAGCTTCATTTGGTGATTGTCCAAGTATAAATAATTCAAGTACTTTTAATGGTTGCCAAAATTTACTTAACTTTTGTTGTTCAATAGCTAAATTTAAACGATTTCGATCTATATAGATCATTCGATATTTCATTTGTTCATTTGATTTTTGTTTTGTTTTAAATAGATTTGGCAATGGACATGCTGAATCAACTGAATAAATAAATAATTGTTGATCTTGATTATTATTATTATCATTTGTTATCATTGAACGAGCCATAAAACGAGCTAATGTACGTAAAACAGATCGTAAAGCATGACCAGGCATACCAAAATATGTTCGAGTATCAATATATTGAAATAAATTCGAACTAAATAAATCAAGTGGAAGACATGATGATAGAAGAGATGTTTCACGTCGTAAAGCAACATTAAGTATACAAATTGCATCACGAATATTATATTGTTCAAGTAAACTATAGAGAATACGATGAAGTACAAGTGCTTTCCGTGCTTCTGTTGGTGGTTTTCCACGACGATATGTACGTGCTGATTGTGGTTGTTCAATTGAATTTGATGTTCGACGACGTTGTTTTCGACGTTCATTTAATGTTGAATAACCTTTTCTATTTAATGGATGATCAACAGATGTTAAAATAGGTGGAAAAAGATCGTTTAAATCAATTTGATGACCATAGGATAATAAACGAGTCGTATTTAATGATGGATATGATTGAAGTATTGATTGAATAAAAAGACGAATAGTTGTTAAATATTTTGAAAGATTTTTTTTATCTCGGCGAATTTTTTTTTCAATCGATGACCATAATGTATACCATGAACGAAGAAGTGTTAAACGATTATAATATGAATTTTCCACCTTAAATATCAAAAAAAAAGGATCTATTAATTACTAAAAATAGTTCAAATAAATAACCTGTAAATTCTGTTGTTGATTAGGTAAATTTGGTGATAAAAATTCATCTAAATTAATATTTGTTCCTTGTAATAATTCTAATTGTTTAACTCCTTTACAAAGTTGAAAATTCTTTATTTCTTCATGAGGATATCCAATCGCTTTTTGTCTTCGACATAATTCAAATGTATTAAATTTCGTTGGTAAATATAAAACAGTTTGTAACCATCGTTCAATAATACATAAAATACATAATTGTAATAATTCCGGATCATTAACAATCGTTGTTTGTTGTTGAAATATATTTATAAATAATGGAATAAATTTTGTTAAACATGATATATGTAAAAATGTTAAAGAACCAAATGTTGATGATAAAACAAGATTTGCTAAACAATGAGATAATTGAATAGGTGTTAGAATATCACGATTATCCGATGATAGAAGTACTGTTTGTGTCGTACGTTCAAGACTTGCACAAATGTCATGTTGTACACGTTCGGAGGATGTTAGAAGAAGATGATAAGCAGAAAAAATATCATCTAATGATAATTGAGGTAAATCATCGATTGGTAATGAAGTTAAACTTCCATATTTCGATAATGAATGCAAATTACCACCACCACCACCACCTCCTATACTTTCGGTATCTAGACGATCAGCTGTTTTGGGAAGATCATCAAATGATCTAAATAATTTAACAAAAAAAAGTCATATTCAAATCATCTGTTTCAAAATTACCTTGCTTTATGAATAAATATTGACTGTTGGTCTTGCTGTTGATTTATATCAAGTAAATATAAATAAAGTAATGGATCATAAAATCTTCTATCACGAATTTTATTTGAATAAGTTATACGTGCTAAACGATAACCATCACTACAATAAATCAATGGTTTATTTGAATGAATAGTTAATGAAAATTTTTGTTGTTTTGTTTTATCATCATTTGAAAATGGTACAATTGATCTCATAAATGAATCGGAACCTAAATGATTTGTTGCTTCACTATCTTGACCAATTAATGGATGAATGATAATAAATTGTAATGGTCCTTGTGCTATACATTCACCTTGTGTTAGTAAATTTATTTGTGAACCAAAACGTTGAAGAAAAAAAAGTGCACCACGATTAGTTATACCAATTAGAAATTGATCATCATAACTCCAGATTAAATCAGAAATAAATATTTGTTGTGGATTTGATGTTGTTGTTAAAGAACAATTAATAGGCATAAATTTTGAAAATGTTAACGATGTTAATGAAATAAAAAGTATATTTGTTGATAAACTAATTGCTAATATAGGTAATGAATGAGCAAAACGAATAAGAACTGCTGAAGAAGAAGAAGATATATTTATTGGTATTTGAATTGTTTCAAATGAATAGGATATTGTTTGTTCAGCATAGATTGTTGATTTCCAATCAATATCAAGACGATTGAGTTGAATATAACCTGATTGATCAGTAAATACAAATGCACAAATAATTGAAGAATTTTCTGAATGAAAAAAAACATCATTTGATATTTGATGTTTATCATCGTTCATAGTATTTAATTGTTCATTCGTTAAACTTATTTCATACCAAATACCATGTTCATCTGTTGAACGATTTGCTAAAGTTGAACATATTGGACTTTTATGATGCATTCGTGTAGGAATTAATTGTGAATTATTTGATTTAATCCAAAGAAATATTCGACATGGTTGTCGTAAAATAAGAATAACTTGTTCACCATTATTACTTATAAATATATATGGTGTTGTTTTAATTGCTTGTGTAGCAACTGAACATGATGGAATTGTTCGAATTAATTTATCTTTATTCCATAGAGTTATTTCATAATTTTGTGAAAGAAATCCACATAATTGACCATTATTTGATAAACAATGAGCAAGAGATGCTTTCGAAATATTAATTATTGTTTTATTTGATAAATGTTCAATTTTACCATTTGTTGAATTAACAGATTCAAGTTTTTTATGTTCATTATAACATAAAAGTTCATTATCATTCAGAGAATAAAAATGTGACCATGGTTTATCACGTTTTAAAATAACATTTTTCTCAATCGTTAATTCAACTTTCATTTTTAATCTAAATTATAAATATAGAACGAAGTGAATCAACATATTAGATACTATTCTTTATGACAAATCGTTTATTCATACAACGAGTCATACTAGTTTATATACATCGATTGGTTCCATTGATACCATAACTGTTGATGTTGCCATAGTTCATACAAGCGAATTTTATCTTAAATTTAATCAGTTCAATCAACAGATGTCGCACAGTAATTGTAGCATTTGAATGAATAATTTTGTACATTTCTTTTTTGAGATAGCAATTCTTTAATCAAACGCCATAAAACAATTGAAAATCTTGCTGTCCTTTGTTGCTCCTTACTCTGCATTACAAGCAGGTGAGCATTTGGGTACCCATAATAATGCATTACCCAAACACTCGGTTTTCATCAGTCCACGTCACTTCTCCCGATTGACACCTCTCCACCTCTCCACCTTCAGTAATCTGAGCAAATAAGACGCACATTTGAAGTCTTCACATCGAAATACCTCGAGAAATGTGTTTCTGACCTTGCGGACATACAAGCAAGCAATCAGGCAATGTATGTTTACTGGGCTCTTCTCTATGAGAAAGAGAAATTTATTCATATCCTCCTTTCTGAATCTTGAGTAATCTTCAAAGTTTGTTTTCTTTGCATTTATCTTGCTAATGATCAAATAAATGTTATTGCACATAAAATGTATTATATACGATAAAAAAAAACACTAAACTATATTAATATGTTTCTTTTTTGCTTTCCCAAAATCATTCTACACACATATAATCTTCTTGCTTCTTTTTCTCGTTCATTCTAATAATAAGCAAACAAAAATGAGAAAAAAAAATGATAAGAGTTTGAGTAAAATAGTACACAGAATAAGCAAAAAAAAAGCGGAACCAATTAACCACAAACAAAAAATGCACACGCACAGATATATATATAGAGAGAGCGAAAAGACTGAGATTAAATGTAGTTTGTCTTGACTAATGAGCCGGCGTTGGAATCATTGATGTTGAAGGTGATGAGATTGCCGATGTTGTATGATAACTATAACTTGAATGTGGTTGTTGATTAAATAACCAATGAGTAAAATCATCATAATCATAAGCATTATGTATTTCTCGGCCATTACGATCTTTATATGGTTTCATCTTACGACAACAAAATTCAGCTTGTTCGGTTGGTAAATTCTAGAAATTAAAATATAGACGAAATTATCAAAATTAAATCGAATAAAAGACAAAAACGTACAGCATAAAGTTCATCACGTGTTATATATGGACGTTCAGAATTTTCTGTTAAACTCTTAAATGCTAAAACAACATCATCAATCGAAGAAACATTTTCAGTTTCTCGACTAATCATGAATGTCATGTAATCTGCTAATGTAACTGTATCCGTTCTAGAAAGAGAGAAAAAAGATATAACTACTACTGAAAAAGAAATGCTTAAATAAACAAACCTATTTGGATCAACAATATCGAGAATACTTTCAAATTGTTCATCACGTTGATTATCATCCACAGTTGGTAAATCATATCCCAACGCACGTAAACATGATTTAAAATCTTGATGATTAAGTCGTCCCAACTTATCTTTATCAAAATGTCTAAACATCATAGAAAATTCTCGTACTTGATCTTCACTAACACCACTATGTTTCATTGCAGCTAATTGTTGTTCAAGATTATGTTGCATACGCATTCCTAATTGATCTAATTGATCATATGCTTGAGCAAGATTAAGTGCAGAATATTCTGTATAACGATTATCAAGTATAAGACGACGTTCAAGTTCTGTTGCAAGATCTTCAAGTTTCTTCAATTTCTGTCGTTGTTGTCGAAGTTCATCAACTTTTTGCTACAAATAAAATAAATTTATAGAAAATAAATCATTTTTTGATGTTTTTACTTTAATTGTTTGAAGTTGTTGTTCAAGATTACCATCAGCATTCATCATGGATGATCTAAAAGAAATGAATATTAAAACATTGATTAGTAAAAAAAAGGAAATTTAAAACATACTCAATGCCACGTAACCATGTATGGAAAGCATTAGCATATTCAGCAAAATGTTGTCGTAATTTATCATTTTCTTCTTGACGTTTCTTTTCTAATTGAAGATCATTATCACGATCCTTTAAAAATAAACGAAATTTTTTATATCAAAACTAAAATATTTCCATACTCGAATTAATTTTTCTAAACTTTTCCATGTATCAAAAAGTGTTTCCATAGTAAACCATGTATATGGATTAGCAGCCATATTTAATGATTTAATACTATCATCAGATGCTTTAAGTTCATCAAAATCATAACGAGCTTCTTCAAGAACAGTTTTAAATCGATCATGAGCATCAATAAGAGCCTTAAAAAGTAAACAAAAGTTCAGTTTTTTTCGTTTTATTAAATAATTCTAAATAGCATACACGAATTTCTTCTAATGAATTGCATTTAACGGGATCTGTAAGATCTTCTTCAGCATTTTCAAACCATGAATTAAATGCCGATGCTTTCTTAGCAAAACGTAAAAATAATTCTTCAATATTACGAAAACGATCTTCAGCTTTTTTCAATTTTTCACGTCGTAATCCACTTGTTTGCAATAATTTTTGCCAACTAGAAAAGAAAAACGAAAAATCATTTATTTATTTTTTGTTATTATTCATCTCACTTAGTTAAAACAAGATCATAACGTGTTTGAATTTTTTCATTTTGTTCCGATAATGTTTGACCTTGATTAGCGGATAATAACTCTTCTTTAAGATCAGTTACTGAACGAATGCCTTCATGTTCAAAATTACTTAATCCAGCTTCGAATGTTTCATGACGTGTAAGTAAATTTTGTACAGATAAAAGATTATGACCCAAATCATCAGTACGTAATTGATGAAGTTTTTCGCCAATCCAACTTTCGACTACATCAGCTTTCCACATAAATTGAAGAAGTGAAGCATTTTCTTGTAAACGTCTCTTATGTTGACTAGCATCAGCTTCTAAACGTTTCAATGCTTCTTGTAAATATTTTATGCGATCTTCGATTTGTGGTGATAAATGATTATTTTGTTCAACTAATTTTTGTCCTTGTTGTAAAATTTCTTGACAACGTTCTTTTTGTATAAGAAAATCAGATTCAAATGATTCATGTTTCTTTTGTAAAGCTTGTACAGCAACTAATGTTGCACCAATATCGGGATTATTCATAATGTGTAAACGTTCTTTAATCCATGCATTTTCTTCATCTAGATTTGATGCCCAATTATGATATGTTAATGATTCATCAAGTCTCTTTGTTCGATCATCTGTTGCTTGTCTTAATGTATCCCAATGATGTTGTAAATCTTTAGATTTACGTTCAATATCAGAATTTCCAACTTCTTGAGTTAATTGTGAAGCTAATTGTTGAAGATTTGAAACATTTGGTTCATGTGATCCTAGATCAACTTCGAAACGTTTATGTTTACGACGTAAATTTTGACTTTGATTAAAATCACGTCCATAATCATCACTTGTAACAAGTAATTTTTTTTCGCTAGAAAACAAAACCCAAAAAATGTAATTAAATAAAAAAATGAAATAAATATATACCGTATTTGTGCTTCTTCATCTTCGAGATCACGAATAAATTGATGAACAGTTGAAGCTTCTTGTAAACGTTGTCGACGAGTATCAGCTTGATTACGAACTCTAAACAATCATAATGAAATAAATGAAATATATTTTAAAGAAAACAAACTTTTGAAAACGATCATTGATGGTATTTCGTGTTTCTTTGATATTTTCAACATCGAACATATTATTTTCAATAAATTCATCACCAGTTTTATTCAAATCAACAATTGCACTCTAAAAAAGAAAATATAGTTTTAATCAAAATTATCTCTTTTAAATTATTACCTCATGATTAGCAATATCATTTTCAAGTAATTGTTGTTTTTTAAGCATATTTTGTACAGATGTTAAATCTCGTCCAACATCATCATTAGCTAATTGATTTTCAATCTAAATAAAAAATTTTCATTAATATTCGAATTTAAACAGAAAAAAACTACGACTTACTTCACCAAGCCAAAATTCAACATCTTTAACTCCAGCATTGAATGTTTGTTGTCGTGAAGCTTCTTTTAATTTCAAACTTTTATCTGAAGATTTTTGTACAAGAAATTCCCATTGTTCAATGATTTGTTGTAAACGATCATCAACTGTTGTTTCAAGACCAGCGCATTTACGTGAATCAATTAAACCTTTGCCCATGCCAATAATTGATTGAATACGATCGGTATTCGCTGCTAATTCAGCAACAAATGCTTGATGTTTTTGACTTTTACTCTATAAACATTTGATAAATATTTTAGAATTTATATAAATATATTCCTTCATCGCATGCTAGATTGATGAAATCATGCAATAAAAAAAAGGCTATCACACACAAAAAAATACACGCTCATCCAAAGTGGTAAATAATTCTTTAAGTAATTTTGATTCGATGCATCAGAACAGACACATACAAACACGATACTCACTTGTATTTTCTTTGCCTACATACATATATATATACGTTTTTACAAATGTTAATTTAATTTATTTTTTTTTGTAGACTATCGCTAACCTGGCGAATGAATTCTAGGGAATAGATTGTTGTTTACCTGTAAATTTTGTGTTTCTTTAACGGGTTCATCAGATGCAGCAGTTAATTTATCAGCAATCCAAGCTTCAATTTCTTCGGCATCACGTGAAAAATCTTGTAATGTTTGAGATTCACCAAGACGTGAACGATATTCCATCATTGCTTGACGAAGACGTGTCCATCGATCAAGTACACGTTGTAAACGATCATCAATACCAGTTTTTTCATAATGATCTTGAGATATTAATTGACCAGCAAATTGTTTTAAATTATTAATTTTATCTTCCTAGAAATAAATATTCATACATAGATCGAATAATTATCGTTTAAATTCTTACTTGAGCTTTAATTGCTTTATCAAAATCTTCATGTCGTTTAATAGCTGCTTCAACAACT